GGTAACATGACTTGACTGTGCCTGAAACTTTAAAAATAAATTCTGAATGTTGAAGTCAATAGGATCTAATGATCTAGCTTAGATTTATGTAGGACGATTAAAAATATAGTAGGTGAAGTTTAATTAGAGCCGATAAACTTGTAGTTGAACGTTAAGCGACTGAGTAGCCGATCCATATTACTATTGTTATTTGTCATTTGGGTTCCTAGTGGGACATAGGGCTTCAGTAACACGTCGCTATTTCACTCTCTTCTCTGCAGTCCTTTCCAACCTGGTCCACGATTGCCAATAAGCTTTCATTTCTTACTCACACGATCTCCTCCATGTCACCCTCAACTGAGACGCCCAACTCATCACTTCCTATTTGGCTTCCACTCGGGGCTTGGCCTGGCTCGTGATGTCTCCAAACCATCTTCTTAGTGTATGTCCAATACAATCCATCTCCACTTTCTTCTACTGCACATTTATTGGGTGGTTCGTTGCCAGGCCAGAGTTCCCTGTTGCCTATTCTTATTATTCTGGCCATCTCATCTCAGTCTTCAGTATCGAGTGAGCGTAGGCGGCAGCTGTTCATGTGATGTATGTCTGCAATTTGTTGGAAATGCTTTTCGTAACGCGCCAAGTCTCTGAGCCATACAGAAGCATTGACTTGACTGAATTAATGTTAAAAATCCAGATGTTGTTGACGCTTTATGCTGAGTGCAGTAGATCTCCACGGTGATTTCAGAATAATGAACGCCTGTCTTGCTTTTCCGATCCTGACTGCTGTGATATCCTCATCTGTGCCGCCTGTAGTTGAAACGATGCTGCCCTGTCTAGGTAGGTGGAAGAGACTACTTCCTTTAGGTTTATCCCGTTGACGGTGATTTTTGCTTGTTGTTATTGGTTGGATATCTTCATCACCTCCGTCTTCTCTACATTCTCCCGTTCTCGCTGCCCCACCTCTTCTGTCAACCTGTAAGTTTTCGCTTGTACATTTCTAGTTTGTGCGAAATTAAACATAAATTGTTGGCGAAATCCAAATCTTCTTTTGGGGTCTATTCATCGGTTTAGCCAGGGTATGCCCCTCCTCTCGCTCCTCATGGTTTGCTTCACTTCGGTATACTTCTCTTTTATTATCATCATCATCACCAATTTTCACGACATTGACAACATTTGACCCATATTTCAATTCATTCGTTATTCACTGACCTATTTTGCATGTTTCAGTTAAATTATCGCCGTTTTACAATTCTTTGACAACACATGTCTATTATCTCACCACTTGTTATCTCATTTCGTCCCTTATTCAGTGACCCATTTACTATTCTTCCACTTGAACAAATCCCACCACCTCTTGTATATTCTGCATATTGACTGAGCAACTGTTTTTAGTACAATTATCTGTCATTTTATCAAGTATAAATACGACTGTACAACTTATATAATGAAGTTGTTGAAAAGAAATGCTTCTTCTTTGTTGATACGTGTCTTGTTCTTATTCATGAATAAATGGGTATATTTCGTCAGTTGACTACTGAATCTTTGTTTATCAAGCTATACTACCTAATATATACAATAGGAATGATTCACTACTCGCTATAGACATTTGAAGAATTCCGCTATCGTTAGAAGTAAAAGAACAAAGGATATATAGGACCATTAAAATGGAGTTCTAAGTGATTACTTTTTTTTAAACATGTATTCTTAACTAGGACCAAATATTTTAATAGTTTAAAAGATAAAATGAAAAAGAAGTTTTGTCGTAATCCTGCTGAAATTCTACAAATAAGCTGCATTTGAAATTCTATTCCAGTTTTCTGTAAGTTCATCCTTTTAATAAGTGAATGATCTGAATCAATTGATAACTGTGTTCATCTGTTTCATACTAGTTTTCACGTTTACAATAACTTTGAAATTCTTACACATAGATTACTAGTGTACAACTTACAAGTGATTAATTCTGCTTGTTTGGTAGGTTAATGTAAGTATAGGATTTGAGTACTATGGTAGATTTTAATTCCATAACCCATTCCTACAGGAGGTAAATCGCGGCCCCAATAGCTCATTGGTAAAGTTGCTGACTACAACACTGGGTGACACGGCTACAAATCTCAAGCGGGATATCAGTTCCGTTGAGGTTGCAGATACGCCTTGCTGACGAGTGCCAACAAGGACGAAACCTAGTTCCACGACTTCCTGCTGATTGCCTCCAACCAACTAAAATTCTATATCTGACCTGTTTATTTAATATAGTGCACAATAATATAGTATTATTTACTTGGTGACGTTTCGAGCATTAATTACTTGTTGTTCATAATCATACCAATGTAATCACACTACTTTCGATATCTAGTTTTTATAATCCTGTCACCTCTTATTCTTTGTATTTATTGGTAGTAAAAGTTTTCATATCTATTCGTTATACATGTATTGGGTGTTGGTTTGATAACCAAAGACTCAGTAATCAATCTCTCTTTCCACCAGACCATATACGACGTAAGTAAAGTGGTTTTATGCAAGAAAGAATAAGCAACAAGGAACTCTGGCCTGGGAATGAACCAACCAACCAAGAACATATCGCCCAACAAATATGCAGAAGAACGTGGAGATGGATTGTATTGGACATAGACTAAGAAGACGGTTTGGAGACATCATGCGCCAGGCCAAGCCCTCGAGTGGAAGCCAAATGGGAAGTGATGAGTTGGACGTCTCAGTTGAGGGTGACATGGAGGAGATCGTGTGAGTAAGAAATGAAAGCTTATTGGCAGTCGTGGAACCAGGTTGGAAAGGACTACAGAGAAGAGAGTGAAATAGCGACGTGTTACTGAAGCCCTATGTTCCCCTAGAAACCCGAAGGACAAATAATAAATCTTAATGATAAAGTGGTTTTATCCCATCTTATTGTGTGGTTGTGTGTGAATGCATGTATCGCAATAGCTGAGGTTTATTCTCCTCCTTAGATTATTGATTTTATCGGGATATATCATTCTACATTCGGCTAAATCCCTATTTTCTAATAATGTAACTAACCCCGACCAGCTAGTTTAACCTATGTAGTTGACTTCACAGTCATTGCATGAAATTTAATAGAACAAATTACTACCACTATAAAAATCAGAAAATAGAGCCATCAAAGTAAGTATAGAATTCGGGCACTGTGGTAGAATGTAATTCCATATTAGATTAGTCTGTCTGATATAGCATACAATGATTATTATATTATTTGCTAGATGATGTTTCGAGCACAATTTATTCATCATAGTCATATCAAGGTAACCACAATTCCTCTCTTTTCTGGTTTCTATAGTTCTACTGTTTTCCAATTCCCTGATTTAATTGGTGCTGCATCAGTTCGATTACACGTGTTAGGCGTTGAACCAATAAACTGAGATTTATTGATCAACTTCTCTCTCTTTCCCTCTCCACTTAACTGCATTAGTCCTCAGGACTATGAATCTATCCCACTCCCTTGTATGGTTGTGTATTATCATATGCCTGGCTATGGCTGAATTCTTCTCTACAATTTTTATTTCACTTCTTCATGTTCACTAAAAAAGAAGTGTTTTAAGCAATAAAGAAATCTGACTTTTAGTTTCTAATGTATCCTAAGGTGATTAAAAGTTACGTTAATCACCACAAAAAACTAGTCAAATTTTAGACAATTTTAAAATATGTTTTATTGATGTACACAGTAAATCCTTTGTTGTTTACAACTGATGGGATCACTATCCATCATTACTATCATTAGAGCACAGGTCATATCGAGGCATCCGCTCAGGATCCCATACGTCAGTACAGACAGATCAATTCGGTCCAATCAACGACGGTATGATATCAAAATAATTATACTAAAAACTTTATCCGTCGCACAAGAAGTGGCTATCGTGGCTCGGTGGTGTAGTGGATAACGCTCTGGTGTTTGAAGCAATCGCTCCCGAGTCCGGATCCCGGTGGGAACAACATCATTCACTGGGAATCAGGTACATCCAGCTGACTAGTGAGTCCCAAAGAGGACGAAATGTGCATCCTGGATTCCACTGCTAGCCACTATTCATAATTTTAGCTATGATTGTACAAAAAGGTAGATTAAGTTCGTGTGAGTTTGTTAGTATAACTTTACATTAATCAGCGCTCTATATTCAATAACTCATAAATATCCTTGTCATTCACCTTGTTATGCACCTTCCTGGTATCAAAATGTAACTAGAGCTAATATGAATACATTGAATTGAACTAACTAAATAAACTTCTAGCTTGCCTCATAATGCTTAAGATGTTCTACGTTTTGTTTTAACGAGCATGCATCTGAGTAGACTTAGATGCTATTTTGCGTTCCGTTTGTGCTGGTTAACACTCACATCCTAATAATCCCTAGTTCATCCATACTAGCCAGATAAGTTAGATAAACCTATCCTTCTAATGATCACTATCATATTTATTCTAATTAAATAAATTACTCCTTCGAATATATTCCTGAATACCGGTCTTTTTGATTTGTGTTATGTTATCAGTACTTACAAGTTAGGTAAGGTACTGATTAAGCAGGTAGTAGAGCATAGTGCTTCTATATAGTTCAGAGACTTTGTGCGTGACGAAAAACATTTTTAGCAAACTGAAGACATACATCAATAATTGCTTAAGCTGCCTTGATATTGAAGATCAGATTACCAGAATAATAAGAGTAAGCAACAAGGAACTCTCTCCCAACAAATATGCACTCGAAGAAAGTAGAGATAGGTTGGGTTGGACATAAACCGAGAAGACGGTTTGCTGACATCATGCGTTAGGCTGTCGAGTGGAAGCCAGGTGGGAAACGACGAGTTAGGTGTTCCAGCTATGGGTAACATGGAGGAAGAAATGAAATCTTATTGGCTGTCGTAGAGCCAGGTTAAAGAAAAGGACTGCAGAGAAGAGAATGAAATGGTGACGTGTTACTGAAGCCCTATGTTCCACTAGGAACCAAAGGATATATATATATATATATATATATATATATATATATATATATATATATAATAGCACATCGAATTAAGCAGGGCTGGTCAGGCTTTACGTAATAGTAACACATCTTGCACCCCTACAACTTCATAACAAGTGGGTAATTCATCTTAAGTTTGTACTTCAAAGCGTAGAAAATCGTAACTAAAGTAATAACTGGGTTTTTTTCAAAAGGAAAGTGATAAAAACTTACTGTTTTTTACTATGAGGACTGTTATAACAGATAACTTCAAGAAAGTGATCCACTACTTTTTCTCCCATGATATTTGAAGAAGAATAACTGAATAACATAATCATTTAGTAGGAATTCTGTTTGTATTTTTTTTTACTCTTCTACAATATTTGACTTACTTAATAATGTATTGTAACGCAATTTTAAGAATTCAAGATAATTAATCATTTCATTTTGTATATGATCTTTTTCTGAATCAGATAAATATTGTATTGTATTTAACTTTTGATAAGCTTTAAATATAATTTGTAATTGTCTGAATAGTTCATGCTCTAATCGATCAGTTGTTGATAAATGTCCAGTTATCTTATTATCTTGCCAGTTCATATTATCTTTATCTTTTCTAAATCTTTATTACTAGTGATATAATGTAAACAATAAGGTGAAGAAGAAGAAGAAGAAGAAGCATCCAAATCAGTTTTGTAATCCTGATTCCTTAGTGCCTATGAGTGTATAAATATAAAGAGTATTAAAATTTCATTGTTACTAGTCTAGTATTGAAATATTATTTTAGTAAAGATTATCTTTGAAATTCTTTTAACAGAAGAATACAAACTGAATGCTTATTAACTAGTGAATGATAACGTTTCACTATGGTATTCAAACAAATCTTATTTTCATTTTGACTATCTAAGATGGCCTTAGTATTTAATACTGAGTGATGATTAAGGGTGAAATGAAATTTTGAACCGCAGCCGGACCAGGGACCACTAAGTTTCCAACCCGATGTTATGGTTAGCAGTTAGACGTCATAGCTCAGTTGGTAGACCATTGGGACGGAAACCTGGTGGTCCCTGGTTCGAATATGGCCACGGTCTAAATCGTCATTATACAGTACAAATCTTATTCGTTTATTTGAAGGGAGCCTGCTTAAATTTCAGGCTATTGAAAATTTTCCAACGAATATATTACATCAAATTTATTCCTTTTAATTTGTTTTAATTTTTTAAATATGTCTCCTAAACGTGTCATGTACCCTTGAAAACTTTTAAAATGGTTTTCCAACCTACAACAAAACGAAGAGATGGGCTTATAAACGCAAAAAAAATCCAGTTCGTTGCTATTCCTTGGATAAATATGTCAAATTTCAAATTTTACTACTGATTGAATAAACTACCATCATCAAAATTATACTGAATTTTTTATTCATTCGTCAATCCAAGCCAAATGCTAATGTAATTACAGGTATCTGTTATTATTAACTGTAATCAAATACAGTGATTATTTCTCCTAAAGATACTGTACAGGGAATGAATATGTTGGTCTAATACATTCTGAGAGTTCCTTCCATACTGTACCGCACTTATTGATTGTAATAAATTTATTATTATTATTATTATTCAGACAACTGTTTGGTAATATGTTTTTATCCAGTGTTATACTCGCTTATCACGTAGTTTAGTAGATGCTGCTGTGATGAGAATGGATATAAGTAGTATATGCTGAGTGGGCAGCAGGAATAATAGGGGTTCTGTCCAGTGAAACGTAAGACACAATGTGGGCGTATTGAAAGCAAACCAAGATAGAAGCAGAAGAGGAAATGAGGCACATTGTGCAAATGACTGTCTTAGTAGAAAGTGTGCAATATTTGATGACTACTGTACATCATTATTATTATTAGTCCATTGGGTTCCTAATGGAAAATAGGGCTTCAGTAGCACGTCGCCATTCCACTCTGTTCTCTGCAATCTTTTGAACCTGGCTCCACGACAGCCCACAAGCTCTCATTTTCTCTTCGCACGATCTCCTCCATGTCACCCTCGGAACCGACACCCAACTCGTCGCTTGCCCTGGGGATTCCACTCGAGCAACTGGCCTGACGCGTGATGTTCCCAGTCGGCCTTCTCAGTGCATGGCCAATCCATCTCCACTTCCTCCTGCATATTTGTTGGGTGATAGGTTCTTGGTTGGTTCGTTCCCAGAGTTCCTTGTTGCTTATTCTTTCTGGCCATCTGATCTTCAGTAGCGAGCCAGCGTAGGCAGCAGTTGATGAATGTCTGTAGTTTATTGCAAATCCCTTTCGTGACGCGCCAAGTCTCTGAACCATACAGAAGCACTGACTTGACTGGATTGGTGTTGAAAATCCGTATCTTGTTCTGCATGCTGAGTGCAGAAGATCTCCACACTGGTTTCAGGCTAATGAACACCTGTCTTGCTTTTCCGATTCTGACTGACATCCTCGTCTGTGCCACCACCGCCTGTAGTTGAAACAGTGCTTCCTAGATAGGTGAAGGAGGTTACTTCCTTTTAGTTTATCCCGTTGACGGTGATTGGAGTTTGTTGGTGCGGTATCTTCATCATTTCTGTCTTCTCTATATTCACCTGAAGTTTCGTCTTCGCTGCCTCTTCTACCATCTTGTTAGTTTTTGCCTGTAGATCTTCAAGTTTGTGTGACATCAGGCACAAGTCATCGTTGGCGAAATCCAGATCTTCTAGGTTCTTTTCCGCAGTCCAACCAGCGTATCCCCCTCTTCTCACAGCTTCCCACTGTTTGCTGCATGATCCAGTTGACCACAATCAGGAATATCATGGGGGATAGTAGGCAACCTTGTTTCACTCCTGTCTTCACTTCAAAAGCATAACTGAGCTTCCCATTGTGAATTACTTGGCTGATATGTGGCATCTTCATATAGTTGTTGAATGAGGCGAATAAAGGTTTGCGGTACTCCGTAGTAATGAAGCAGTTTCCAAATTACCTCTCTGACGACGCTGTCAAAGGCCTACTCAAAGTCGATAAAGTTGAGGTAGAGAGCTGGTTGCCATTCTATACTCTGTTATATAATGATGCGAAGCGTTGCAATTTGGTCCGTACATGATTTGTACTTCCTGAATCCAGCCTGCCTGTTCCGGTCGTAGTTTTGAATCGAGCGCATCCTTTAGCCTCTCCAGGATGATGCGGCATAATACTTTGCTTGCTGTGGGTGGACAGGAGAGTGATTCCACACCAGTTCTTGCAAACACTGAGGTCTCCCTTCTTCGGTAGTTTGACAAGGTAACCCTTCTTCCAATCAACTGGCAGGTACCTTCTCTTCCCTCCACACCTTCTGCAATAGTGGTGTGAGCATGTCTGCTGTTGTCTCTGCATCTGTTCTCAGTGCTTCTGTCGGGATCCCATCTGGTCCTGCTGCTTTCCCACATTTCAGTAGCTTTATGGTGTTCAGGACTTCCATTCTTGTTGGAGGATTTATGTTCACTTGTAGTTCAGCGGTTGTAGGTGGTATTTCTGGACGAAGTGCAGGTGGTGGTCGATTCAAGAGCTTCTTGAAGTGGTCGGCCCATCGTTTCCTTTGTTTCCCTTCTTTCGTAATTAAATTTCCGTCATCATCTTTTATTGGTTTTGTCTGAGTTGATCTCTTTCTTCCCCAGGTGGCAACCTAGTTATTTGATACAATGTTGTCAGGTCCCTCTTACCTGCAGCATGTTCTGCTTCACTTACCAGTGTTTCGTAGAAGTGTTTTTTGTCTTTGCGTGCACTCTTCTTCACTTCTTTGTCCAGTGTTTTATACATTGTGCTCAGTTCCTCTTGCCGTTGAGCATCCTTGAACTGGTTTATCTTCTGCTTCACCATCCTCCTCTCCCTGCTCTATCAGCTTCCATGTATCCGTTGAAATCCATTCCTTATCTTCTTTCTTCTTCCTTTCTAATACGGTTGTGCAGGTTTCTTTCCACATGGCTTTCAAAGACTTCCAGTGTTCCTCCACACAGGTTTCTTCAGGGATGTTTCTCGATATCTCCCATTTTGTCTTGATGGCTGGCTGTCGTGAAGATTTACTTTGTAGTTTTGTCCTTCAGTTTCCGAGTGTTGTACTTGAACTGAGGTCTATCACCAGCTTCCTTGAAGGCTTTAAACTTGATTTGGAAGGTAGGTTCCTTGCACTAGATAGTGGTCTGGACCTACATCTGCTCTTCTTCTTGACCTTGTGTCAAGTAGACTGCGTCTCCATTTTCTTGAGATTGAGATAAAGTCGATTTGATTCTAAGTATGTTCTGGTGTCTGACAAAATCCATTTCGCTTTGTGAATCTCCTTGTGCTTGAACATACTGCCTCACCTCCAATCACCAAATCGTTGAATGCGCAGAATTCTGCAAACAATTCTGCATTCTCGTTCATTTCGTCGAGCGTTTCTCGACCCATGATGAGTTCTCTTCCTGTGTTGTCCCCTCCCAGTTTGGCATTCATGTCGCCCATTAGAATTTTGATATCGCCAACTGACGTCTTGTCCAGTGTTGATTGAAGTTGTCTGTAGAAATCCTCCTTTTTCTCTTGCTCTGCATTATTTGTAGGTGCATAACATTGTATGATTGTGACCTTTCTTCCTTTTGAGTTGAATCTTGCTGTCATGATCCTGCAGGAGGAGATTGGTTCCCACTGCATGAGAGCCTTCGATGCTCTTGAGGACATCATGATAGCCACTCTGTGAGTGTGCTCGTGGTTGTCGTCTGGGTGACAATATCGGAGTAGATTATTGATTCTCCAGTTGACAGTTTGGAGAGTCCACTCCCATTCCATCTGCTTTCGCAAATTCCAAGCACTTCAATGTGATACCTCTTCATCTCGTTTTCAATCTGGGCTGCCTTGCTGGGTTTAAACATGGTGCGGACATTCCATGTCCCCACGTTTACTCTCGCTTTCATCGAGGGAGAGAAGACACATCGGCCAATTGGCTTCCCGAAGGCTTTCACCAACTGGCGTCATTTCACCTATCCGATTCCAGTAAGGAATAATTTTGTTATTATTTTTTATATATCGTTTGTGCTTTGAAGTTTGTTTAGCGGTTAGATTTGTTTTCCGGGGTAGGGTTGCTAGCCCTATGCCCAACCTTCCTTCTTTACCCGGGCTTAGGACCAGCTAGTAACTAGTGAACTAGTTAACCAGGCGGGGTTGACTACTGTACAACATGTCAATAATAAATATTCCTTCCTCTGTCTCAGTCTTCTTATTTCCTACACTAGTACCAGTGAAGATTTGTTCGAACGTATAGCATGGATAATAGCTAATTACCTTCATTTCAGATAAGGCATTATTTAACGTAAATCATTTCTTAATTACCGTGAAGTGTTCTAAATACACTTACTTCTTTTTGTCCTTCTCTTAACTGAGTGTGTGCATTGTCAGGATCAGTTCTTGTTTCTGTGGTCACTTCAAGCATCGTTTTTCGATTTTCTTCATCCCGACCATCATTCTGTTCCGCAAGATATGCTTTAAGAAGATCTTCAGCACGATCTAATACTTCCCGAGGGATTGCAGTGAGTCTGGCAAGTTTAATACCTAGTTTAATAAAAATATTAATGTGATCACTACTAGTCATTATACTTTAAACTTCGTTTTCGTGAAGTAACTTTTGAAGCGTATGAAAATTCTGGTAATGGTCAAATCACATTTAAAAGAAGTATCCAAGTTTCTACCAGTACTTAATTTCAAGTAATTGCTAATAAACTGATAGTTATCTGTGCAAATATTTGTACTGTCAGTGCACAGTTTTTTGTTTGTACTCATCGACAGCAGCGACTGAGAAGTAATTTGGCAACTGCTCCAACACTATGGAATACCCCAAACCTTTACCAACCTCATTCAACAGCTATATGAAAAGGCCACATACCAAGTGGTTCACAATAGAAAGCTCAGTGACTCCTTTGAAGTGAAGACAGGAGTAAGACAAGGCTGCCACCTACTATCACCCATGATCTTCCTGATTGTGGTTGACTGGATCACGCAGCAATCCGTGAGGAGCGAGAAGAGGGGGACACGCTAGCTGAACCGGGGGAAAGATCCTAGAAGATTTGGATTTTGCCACGGATGACTTGTGTCTAATATCACACAAAGTCGAAAATCTACAGGAAAACACCAACATGTTGACAGAAGAGGTGAGGCAGCGAAGATGGGATTTCAAGTGAACATAGAGAAAACAGAAGTGATGATGATACCCAACGAATGCCATCACCAACGACAACAGCAAGCTCCAATCACCATCAATGAAAGAAACTTAAAAGAAGTAACTTTTTCACCTATCTAAGCAGCATAGTTTCAACTACAGGTGGCGGCACAGGCACAGACGAGGATGTCAAAGCAGCCAGGATTGGAAAGACAGAAAGACAGGCGTTCATTAACCTGAAACCAGTGTGGAGATCGTCTGCACTCAGCATAAGGTGTGAACAACATCCGCATTCTCAACACCAATTCAGTTAAGTCAGTGCTTCCATGTGATGGTTGAGAGACTTGGCTTGTTACGAAAAGCATTTGCAACAAACTGGAGACATTCATGAACAACTGCCTACGCTGGATTGATACTGAGGATCAGATGGCCAGAATGATAAGAATGAGCAACAAGGAACTCTGGCTAGCTGGCTGGCAACGAACCAATGAAGCAAGAACCTATCGCTGAACAAACATGCAATAGAAGGAAGTGTAGATGGATTGGGCATACACTGAGGAGACCATTTGAGGACATCACGCGTCAGGCATTCGAGTGGAACTCAGATGGTAAATGGCGAGTTGGGCATCCCAGCTGTGGGCGACATGGAGGAGATCATGTGAAGCAGAAATGAGAACTTGTAGGCTGTCGTGGGGCCAGGTTCAAAAGATTGCAGAAAAGAGAGTGTAATGGAGATGTGCTGCTGGAGTGGTATGTTCCACTAAGACCGCAAGGGACAAACAATAAAATAATAATGATAATCACTTAGATGGTACAATATGACTTGTGATATTACACAAGTCCAACTGAAATTTCTCCATATAAAGTAATATTCTTTTGGCAAGATTTAGCTTTTAGAATTTTGAATAACTTAATTTTGATGCAAGATTCCATATGTCAGTACTAGCCGATCAGTTTGATTCAATCAACAACAGGCATCTATGAGATACAACATCACAACTAATGAAGTAGGTACACTCTAGTATTAAGGTTTATTGATTTTTCTATACGACCGACCGTTTCTCAATGCTTTATTAACTTGTAAAAAATGAAACCAAGACTCGGTTGTAACGTTTTTAAAGGTGATTAATGTTTAACTGAATAAATAAATATAAATCAGAGTTTATTTCTACAACGGATTCTCATTAGTTGCATGTAACCTTTAAAAGTTTATAATCATAGCATAAAAGTTGAACATATATATATTATATGCAGGCTAAAATTTTCTGTAATTTAGCTATTCATTAGGTAGATTTTCTCTGAGAAAGATGAAAAATATATGACAGTAAAACTGAACAAAATAATTTACTCATTATTGACCACAGTAACTACTGTTCTACGACACATTGAATCCACTTCTATATGTATTATTTCTCTATGGATCATACATCTGAAAAAAGAACGCCTGAAAGGCTTAAAAACTATTAGTCAGGGGCTTCAGTAACTGTTGTATATTCCAAGAGGATAAAATACTCACGCTTGATTGACAGCTAACTTCGTACATAAGATCCACCGACTCCAACCCTGACGTAATAGATAAAACTGAACTGGATGGGGGAATTTATTCCTTCGAGAAGAATGGTCAATCAACCCAAAAACACCTGCGTTTATACATATATTAAATATGACCTTGTTCAGAATTTGAAACATTAACATAGTGAAAGCAAAGATTAACCAATCAGCGAATTACCTTGAGAAAGGAGAGAAAAATGAACTACTAGCCACGCCGTAAAACGTGGAGTGAAAATGACTGTTTAAAAATGTTTTGATTCATAAGCAATGTTTTATGTGAATCTGGGGCCTTCCAACAGTAACGTATGTCAAAGCCCCCTGAATTACGTTGGGAACTGTAAATTCATACATAGTTTTAGTGTTGGCTGTTTATGATTTTAGGTTTCAACTATTAGATTGTGTCTGAAATGAGTTACACTATAGTAATATAGGTGTAAAACTTGGGCACTGTGGTACAATTTAATTCCATATTTAGATTTGTTTATCTGATTCATAACACACAGTGATCTAGTATTATTTACTTGATGACGTTTCGAGCACAAATTATTACTACTCATAATTATATATCAATGTAATCACACCAATTTCCACATTTGATTTTTATAGTCGTGTCACCAGTTATTCTTTGTTTCCATATCTCTGATGTAGGTGTTGATTTGATGATCAAAGATCCAGTAATTATTCTCTCTCCACTTAATTATATTCAACATAAGTACAGTGGCTTTATCCCACCCTATTGTGTGGTTGTATGTTAATGTGTGCATTGCATTAGCTGAGTTCCCTTCTAGATTATTGATCTTATTCAGGTCTGTCATTCAATATTTAGCTAAATTCCTATATTTCGCTATTCTAACTGACCCCAACTGGCTAGTTTCACCTATGTTGGATTGCGGGATAAAACGAAGGATAGATGGTGGTTCGGATACTATCGTATACAGAAAACCGACACATTCCAGTAGGTACCTAGACTTCAAGTCATGCCATCCGATAACAGTAAACGCAGGTTTAGTCAAATATCTAGTCAATGAAAGGACCTAAACAAGGAACTGAAACGTAAAAAAGCACTAATAGTTAATAATTGTCCTCTTCAGTTTATTAGGAATTCATAGGAAAACATAAGAAACGAAATAATAATAGTAACACGAGTACGGATATTAACGAAAACAGGGGTGGGAAGAAGTTCACAATCTTCATTGTGTTACACTATAAGGAAGGCACATCAGAACCTTAACGTAGGATCCTCAGCAAAGCTGAAACTAGGGTGGTATTGAAACTCACTGAGAGATAAGCTTTGTGGACTGACTTAGGGATCCGATAGAACCAATTCAGCAAAATAATCTAACCCATTAAATTCCATGTAATGACTGTGAGGTCAAGTACATAGGTGAAACTAGCCAGTTGGGGTCAGTTAGAATAGCGAAATATAGGAATTTAGCTAAATATTGAATGACAGACCTGAATAAGATCAATAATCTAGAAGGGAACTCAGCTAATGCAATGCACACATTAACATACAACCACACAATAGGGTGGGATAAAGCCACTGTACTTATGTTGAATATAATTAAGTGGAGAGAGAATAATTACTGGATCTTTGATCATCAAATCAACACCTACATCAGAGATATGGAAACAAAGAATAACTGGTGACACGACTATAAAAATCAAATGTGGAAATTGGTATGATTACACTGATATGATTATGAGTAGTAATAATTTATGCTCGAAACGTCATCAAGTAAATAATACTAGATCACTGTGTGTTATAAATCAAGTGAACAAATCTAAAGTGGAATTACGCTATAGTAGTATAGTGTAAGGAACAGGATTTCTTTGACTTCAGTAAATTGTTGAAAGTTTTTCTAGGACATTTCATTAAAACTTATAATTTCAAGTTGAATCATTTATATAGAAAATTAGACGGATTGTATTTTTACAAGTAAGTGAGGAAAAATAGTCAATGAAAAAAGCATTAACCTACGCCTTAATTAATAAACCCGAATACAAGATATCGTCAACTAACAGGAGAGTATCTTGTGCTTACCAAACATCACTTTTGGTGATTTCCCTTTAATTAATTTATATGTGAATGTGATTTGACTAGAAGTAAGTCTATTATTGGATACATAATCATTTCGCCAGTCATGTACTGTAGATTTATTTGGATCATTTCGATCAGAAAAACTATGAACTAATGGAGATTCCATGAGAACTTTACTACTATTGTTAATTGATTTTTCATCTATAGTATGATTTATTGTAGTTGTATCATTTCCATAATCTCCATTTGTTAATTCTTCATGTACTAGGAAATAATAACTAGAATACAAATTAATAAGTGAACAAGTATATATGGTTAAATTTAGTGAAAATCAAAAAAAATATCATTTACGCATATCATTAAGTATAATTTTGGCTATCTGAGATAGCAGCATATCATTGAGTTACTTAAATCAAGCGATCAACATTAATGAAGATATTCTGATTGCATTTCAATAACACTTGGTCATTGAAATTAGGGTCAACTAACTGAATGATCATAGCTTGCTTTGTACGCCACCATAAGAATGCAAAAATTATTCTTTGGTACGGTGTGAAACAGTTTATCTTGACTTATTCCGTCGACCGACAAGTAATTTGGCAACTGCTGCTTCAACTCTACGGCTTTAGTGCCACCAATATTTATCAACCTCATTCAACGGCTATATGATGACGCTACATGCTAAGTGATCCACAATGGGAAGCTTAGTGATGCCTTTGAAGTGAAGACAGGTGACAGGAGTAAGACAAGGCTGCCGCCTACTATCACCGGTGATATTCCTGATTGTGGTCGACTGGATCATGCAGCAAACCGTGAGGAGCGAGAAGAGAGGCATACGCTGGATCGATGGAAAGATCCTAGAAGATTTGGATTTCGTCGGTAATGATGATGATTTATGTCTAATGTTACGCAAACTCGAAGATCCGCAGGCAAAAACCGACATGTCAACAGAAGAGGTGAGGCAGCGAAAACGGGACTTCAAGTGAATGTAGAGAAGACGGAGGTGATGAAGATACCCAACGAACGCCATCACCAATAACAACAGCAACAACAAGCTCCAATCACCATGAACGGGAGAAACCTAAAAGAAGCAGTCTCTTTCACCTACCTAGGCAAGGCAGCATCGTTTCAACTACAGGTGGCACAGACGAGCATGTCAAAGCAGCCAGGATTGGAAAGACAGAAAGACAGGCGTTCATTAACCTGAAACCAGTGTGGAGATCGTCTGCACTCAGCATAAGGTGTGAACAACATCCGCATTCTCAACACCAATTCAGTTAAGTCAGTGCTTCCATGTGATGGTTGAGAGACTTGGCTTGTTACGAAAAGCATTTGCAACAAACTGGAGACATTCATGAACAACTGCCTACGCTGGATTGATACTGAGGATCAGATGGCCAGAATGATAAGAATAATCAACAAGGAACTCTGGCCAGACAACAAACCAACCAAAAATCTATCTCCCTAAAAATATGCAGAAGGAAGTGTAGATGGATTGGGCATACACTGAGAAAACTAACCGGTGACATCACGCATCAGACGCTCGAGTGGAATCCAAGTAGGAAATGACAAGTTGGGCGTACCAGTCGAGAGTAACATGGAGGAGATCATGTGAAGCAGAAATGAAAGCTTCTGTGCAATGGTAGAGCCAGGTTGAGAAGACTTCAGAGAATAGAGTGAAATGGCTACGTGCTACTGAAGTGGTATGTCCCACTAGGAACTCAAAGGACAAATAGTAATACCAATAATAGGTCATTAAATGCAGCTGCAAACATTCAATATCTTCATTTTAATGATTACTGCATGAATTGAGTGACGAAATTTTGACAATTTTTATTAACAGCCCTAGTTCAAACTCAAAAAATGTATAATTTTTGGAGTATGTCTGATGTCTGATATGCAAAAGGGAGTTTTATAGAGTATACAGTCGGATAAGCAGCTAACATATCTGTTTATTACCCTTATCAACTTGACATTGATATTCAGTAAAACCTGAACTAAAAAAGCCAACAAGTACTTTTACCGGTTCTTAACAGCAAGTATAATTTGTGAAAAACAATGCTGTCATTTTACAATAGTCTTAGTTCAATTTGGAGATTCATGGGGATTTATTGACTTCAGCTTGATATTCATCACGAACTGACGTCAGTTAGCGAAATGTTAGAAACATGAGGGCATTAGAAAGTTATTTCATCCTAGTATGGGACTCCTCAATGGTTCGCACCCATGATCTCAACCCACCAGAGATCGAACCCAGAACCTTCAGGTTTCACAGCCAGCATGTTACTATTGAGCTGCTTATCAATATTTCCATGATGTAGTGTGACCTCTATCCAATGCCGTCATTCGGTATTTGTTTTTATATCCGACTTGGTTAGCCCGACAAGTTACAACTTCTTAACAGGACTTCGCGAATTACCTCTCCAAACAAGTCACAAATGAGCACTAGAACTATTCAGTTTGGAGGTTCTCGAGGATTTATTCATTCACTGCTGAGGAGTCCCATAGTAGGATGAAACAGCTGTCCAGTGCCAGCAGTCAGTTCATGATGAATATCAACATGAAGTCGTGGTTTAACCACTTATTATGAAATGAAACATAGTAGGTCGTTTTTATCCCTCGAGAATATTTGGATGTTCACACAGTGAGGCGAATTCTACACACTGAGGTAATCTTATGCTTGCCAGCTGTTAGAGTCAATTAGGTGCTGTAAACAGATTTATATTTGGCCTTATCATACTCCACTCAAACCGTCTATCAACAACATACGGTTTTATTTAGTTATTACTGTGACAGAAAATAGTAACTATAGTGGCTGTCCAAACTATGATTAAAGCTTTGTACACATCTTTGGAGAAAATAAACATTCCTAACTTTTAATTCTAATGAAGCGGTCATTTAAGTCAAAATCACATTTATAAAGTAATCTTGATGTGGGTGATATAGTTAGTGTATTTAGATTGTAGTATGACTTTCATAGCTACTCAAAATGTTCGACTTGATGATGTTCTCTGTGGCTGATTCAATAGCCTGGCCTGGAGAAGTGGGTTGTGATTGACTGCATAGATTTTTTTGTCGCCTGTTTCTCTGCCTGACCTTGTCGACACTTACCACTTTTCCTATTGGTTGGTAGGTTACGTCTGTGTTTATACATTCATTCATGACATGAATGCCAAGCTTCTTGGAATTCTTTGATACTCTTTGTTTCCTGTGTCCAAGATTTCTACATTTTCCTGACCGAATTCATATTTATCCACATGGATTGAAATGAGCTATGAAATGCTGTGACGTTTCACAGCCAATTGGTGTTCATGTAAAAAAAGGCGAAGAGGCCGACTACCTTGTCCAATGTAGTGTTGATCGCAATTATTGCAGCTGATAGTGTAGGTGATATTTGGTTTGTCATATCTGACTGTTGCGTACTTCGGTCTGCACAGTACAGTTTGAAGGGAATTTTGTTGGTTAGTGAGTCACACCATCACTCACGGAACATACAACCGAAATCATCCATCTTAGCTACAAATATTCTCCATCATTTCAACAGTTTATTGTCTTTTTTTACTCCGATGTACCTGTGGTCATTGAATAAACAATAATTCATCTCCCGATTGATTTCATTTATAAAACTGGGAGAAAGCTCGCTTTGCAATTATCTTCAACACCGTCCTCCTTTAAAACACACTACATTTTACAAAGCAGAATGTTAACTTTTTCAGATATAATTTAACAATGGGAACAATTGATTTCATTTGTAGTTCACTGCTAGATAAAAAGTTGAAGGTAAGTATACCACTTGCTACCCTATGAGAGCTGTTCTTTCGTCGTATAATGAATGTGCAATTTCAGCTTAACAAAGAAACTTACCGTCAGCTAAAAGGTGTGGCAATGAGTTCACCACTAGATCCTCTTCTAACCAACATGTTTACAGCGAAATTGGAAAGTGGACCACTATGCAGCATGACAGATAAACTGTCCATCTATTGTAGACACATGGATGACACTTTCATTCTGTACGCGAATGATACCAATCCTGATATTCTCGATACATTCAACAGTCCTCATCAAAAAATCGAGTTCACATGTCAAACAGAGAAAGACGGGTGTCTGCCATTTCTCGATGTTTTGTTATCAAGACAAACGAATGGCAGTTTCAGATGCAGTGTTTATCGTAAGAAATCGAGGGTTGGTCAGTATACACATTTTCAATTATTTGTCCCTCTTACGTACAAAAGGAATTTAATCCGTACACTGAAATTTCGAGCTAGTAAGATTTGCACAGATGATACTTTGAACTATGAATTAAGATTAATAGAGAACTCCTTATACGAGAACGGTTATCCTGAAAAGTTCATAAAGACTGTAACAAGGAAAACAGCTAGAGAAAAGAACCTTCAAATGGTGTCGAAGAAATGATTTTATCTAACCTTAGTGTCTAAAAGAGATGCTGCTACATAAACTCTGAAACTCAGAAATCTGATACAAAAAACCTTTGCCGCCACACTATGCTTGAAATTTATCACTCGCTGTATGATTCCAATACAGGTGAATGATAAGCTTCCGAATCTGGCCACATCTATGTGCATTTATAAATCTAACTACACCTGTGGAGATAGTTACATATGTAGGACGATTCGGCAACTCCACCATCGCTTCATTAAGCACTGTCCAGCGTGGTTGGCCAAACAAACAGTGAAATCCATCAAAAGTTCAATACTCGACCATCTAGTAGACACTGAGCATAAAATTGACAAAATCTCAGCACTTTCTATTATTTACAAAGTCGCATCACAATACTCCAATTTTGTGCACCTCCGTTTGCTAAGCATAGCAGAAGCCATAGCAGTTAAAATTTACAGACTTAGTTTATGTATTTTGAAGATTTCAAGTTGTTATTCATCGAAGACTGACATCAGTTGGAGGAACAAAGGAAACCTGGGAGCACTGGACAGCTGTTTCGTCCTAGTACGGGACTCCTCAGCAGTGCGCACCTACGACCCCACACCAGCAGGGATCGAACCCGCGACCTTCAGGTTCCGCGGCCAGCGCGTTACCATTGAGCCACTGGGTCACAGAATCCAATGCTCCATATTTCCAACTTCTGTTAGCTCACGATATAGCGCAACCGCCACCCAATGTCATCGTTGAGTATCTGTCCTCACGGCCATCAGGCTTTGACTCCACCGGTCACGACTTCCCATTCAGAAGATGTTTGTTTATTCCCTTTCCTTCCCATGGCCTTCAGCCTAGATGCAATTACAGTAAATTGCATCCTGGTCACTCGGATAAATGTAAATATTATCTCTATTTGTACTCTGTTCATTATCATTTTATTTTTGTCCCTTAGTTTCATAAATTGATTAAAAATTTTAACATTTTATTGTCTAATCGCTATGCAACAATAATTTTATTTCCCTCTATCCCTACACACACACACACACACACACACACACACACACACACACACACACACACACACACACACACACACACCTATAAGGATTGCCTACTGAGAATATGTAAAATTTTTCAAGATTTCGTTTTGTTATTGTCACCTTTTACTGATATCTTCTAATTCATGTACCTGAATTAACTTAACCATGTTGATATCAAATGAGGACTATGCTGTGAATAATTTGTAAATGTAAATGTAAAGACTGACGAGAATCTATCGTAAATACATATTCGCTTCATACTCTGTCTTCTAATTTTTCAGATATTCGTACACCGTTTATAGATAACTCTTAAAGTATAATCTTGTTTCATCTTACATTTATACGTGTACACTTTCGGTTGGCATATTTCTCCTTCACTTTTCATGTAAAATCCCTTTTATTATTATTTTTTATTATTATTATTATTATTTGTCTGTTGGGTTATTAGTAGAACATAGGGATTCAGGAGCATCTAGCCATTCCACTCTGTTCTCTGCAATCTTTTGAACTTGGCTCCACGACTGCCCACAAGTTCTCATTTCTTCCTCACATGATCTCCTCCATGTCACCCACAGCTGGGATGCCCAACTCGCCATTTACCATCTGAGTTCCACTCGAGTGCCTGACGCGTGATGTCCCCAAATGGTCTCCTCAGTGTACGCCCAATCTATCTCCCTCCACTTCCTTCCAATGTATATCTGTTCAGTGATAGGTTCTTACTTCGTTGATTCGTTGCCTGGCCAGAGTTCCTTGTTGCTTATTCTTATCATTCTGGCCATCTGAGCTTCAGTAACAAGCCAGCGTAGGTGGCAGTTGTTCATGAATGTCTCCAGTTTGTTGGAAATGCCCTTCGTGACACACCAAGTCTCTCAACCATCACATGGAAGCACTGACTTCACTGAATTAGTATTGAAAACCCATATATTGTTGACGCTTTATGCTGAGTGCAGTGCAGAAGATCTTCATACTGGTTTCAGGCAAATGAAAGCCCGTCTTGCTGTCTTTCCGATCTTGGCTGCTTTGACATCCTCGTCTGTGCCTGTGCCTCCTGTAGTTGGAACGGTGCTACCTAGATAGGTGGAAGCGGCTACTTCCCTTAAGTTTCTCCCGTTGATTATAGTCATATTTAAAAGAATATTAAGCTGAAAATAATGTTCACCAGGAAATAATCGGTATCCAATAGTTATCAGAGACTTTCATATGAACACGAATAACTATTATATTAAACTAATCAAATAATAGGTAAATTACAAACTTCCTAGTTTAAAAGTTAAATAAATAAGTTGATAAATATTTAAGTATCATATTCGCTTACTTTTCCACATTTGGATAGAAATATGCTAAGGAAGTTAATTCATACCGATTGGTTGCCAGGAATGTGAATGCCTAGAAGAAGGAAATTTTGCAGAAATTTGATTTTAAAAGAAACTAATAATTTAGACTTTTAATAAATCTTATATCCGGTCATCTAAAATCTAATCATATGTTACTAAGTCAATTATTTTATTGTCATTCAAAATAGTCTTTATTTAGACCATATGAGAAAGTTTATCTCCCCGCCCTCTTCTTTATGTATTCTAAAAATAGTTTGTCTTTCTTTGGTAGTCTTTATCTCATTTTAATATCAAGCAAGATGTGATATTGTATTATTCCTCCTTTGTTTTCGACAAATTTTGTATTATCCTTATTTATTTCCTTTAACCAACTCTATTATCATCTTTTATATACAACTCTTTGACAAGTAAATGTGTTACCAAATTGTTTGTGATGTATTGCATAAATATATCAAATTATTCTGATCACCTCCGTCTTCTTATTGCATTTATACAAAACCATTAATACTATACTAAGATTTCTTCAGGAAAATAATTGAATACGCCTATCTCATCACATTTTCAAAATACATTTATTACATACCATATAATCCCAAACTCAGTAGACTGAAAAAAATAAGATATGCTACCGTAATAAGCAGTCATCAATAGGGAAATATTGCTGACTGATCTAGAGAGTGGTGAAAGTAAGTGTTTGCTATGACCGGTAGTACAACCTAACAGTCTACCAGCAATATGACAACAATACCACCGACACACGAAGATATGATCAGAAGACAAAGATTTTTCCTCAACAAGTCAATACACTTGTAACAGCGATACTGAATATATACATTTCTGAATGACCTTGACAACACTAAACCCACATAGGTAAAAATAGTTAATGACCAATGAGAGTTCAGCGTTGACAGCAGAAGGAAAAAATCTAGCCCGGGGGGTGAATATAGCTGTGTAGGTCATGTTAAGGTCATGAGCAAAACAGCGGCAAAAGCTATATAAAATTAGGGGTTTAAAGCAGTGCTGCTCAATAGTAAGGTGCCGTTTTATGTGAAACAGGTTAAGGCGTAACCATTCTCCGTGTGTTATTACAAAAGCTAATGGTTTTGAATTCAAATATCTAAAGCACTCAGATAAGCCAAATCATTATGTTTATGAAGGCTTTTCACATGGAATAAAATAAGCTTTTATGCACCAAATTAACACAATTTACTATAAGGTTTAAAATTTCACTATAAACATGTCTTTTGTAGATGGGATGTTCAATTCCAAACTTACTTTATGCTCTAAAAATGCTTCACAAATGGCTGTATTCAAGAATTCAACTTCACCAGGGTTTGTATCTTGTAAATTTGTAAAAGACTTAGGTTAGTAACTAATACACCCGAGTTTAAAGGAATTTTTTGGATGAGGTAAAAGATTTCAGAAATTCCAATGTCAAATATATGGGAGATAAGCATTTTAATCTAATTTTTCTTCAAAACGATCCATTATAAGGGTTATTAATACTAAAAATCACATCATACATCAGCTAGTTAGAATAAGGTTTGGTTCTTGGCGAGGTCATAGATTCACACTGCTGAGGAGCCCTATTCTAGGACGAAACAGCTGTCCAGTGCTCCCAGGTTTTCAGTGGTTCTCCAACTGATTTCAGTTCGTAATAAACACCAACTTAAGAGTAAACGCCAGGGCTGTTCCCACCAGGCCACGATAGCCACAAACACATCAACAAGTAGTAATAACTAATACCTGTTAGACAACAGGTGGCTATCATGCCTCCGTGACCTGGTAGATAACGCCCTGGCGTTTGAAGCGATGGGTACGAGGTCCAAGTTTCACTGGGAATAACATCACTCACTAGACCGCAGGTACATCCAACTGACGAGTCCCAAACAGGACGAAATACGCTTTCTGGATTCCTCTGCCAGCCACAATCAAGTAAATGGTCATACTTAATGTTCAGGCAATATTGAGGTATCCTAATAGGAGCCCATATGCCAATACAGATCAAACAATTCGGTCCGAAAACACAACAAAGAATTATAAGCACATCAACAAATACTAATTGTAATCACTGCCATGGTAGGTTCCCTTCTGAAAGTAGAGGTTCAGTTTGACAGCTCAGATCGAACAAGCTTCTACAGTTGCAAGCAACTTTTATTCTGCTGCTTACTAACAGCTGGAAAGGAATTACAGGTATCAATATCATGCTGATGGTCCATTAGGTGCTCCGTCATCGAACTCCTCGGGGTTTTCTTTTTTATAAGCTTCATCCATTTTGCTGGCACCCAACCATTACGGTAAACAGATGTCCTCTCCTTATGACCTATGTATTTGCTTCCACAAAAGTTCTATATACATTTATACGTGTCGAGAGTCGGAGCCCTACCAATCCCTGATTGTTGCAATACCATTTGGTGGTCCTGAGGAGCATAGGCCTGCATCATAATAAGTTTTTCTGATAACTTTTTGCAGTCCTCGCCTAACTATCTCTAGCATGTTGTCACCTTTAATTGATATAAACTGACTTTTTCTGTACTTTTAAGGACATTGTTTTCTTTGCTTGCTGATAAGGCTTTTTAGGTACCTGTTCTTTACTAGCATGTTTTACAAAGTTCAAATTTCACAGTCTACTTTGCTTGATCGAGTTGCGTTTTGACTAAATTCATTTGGTATTGAATCGGGACAAAATCCTTAAAGTGTAGGTACTGTCCCATCCATGATGGTTTTCTACAAATGGACTAATCGATAGATCCGTCTATTCCTTTCACTAATGACACATCTAAAAATTCGATCATATCATCTTTTTGGTGCTCAGTCGTGAAAATTAGGTTTGGATGATATGAATTAAAGCTTTTCAGCATTATTTCCGCCTCCATTTCGCTTTTATGTACAATAAAAATCTCTACCATATACTGTTGATACAGTTTGATCTGCTTTATGAAACATTTCAGGCTAACAGTCTCCAAACTTCATAGGAATAAATTAAATGAGATGTCTCAGAAGGTCTTCCCATTGCGAACTTATCAGTTTGATGAAATAACTTTCTGTTTATCTGGAACTGGACATTCTTGGTACATAGGTTTAAAAGTATCCTCAACTACTTCTTCTATTAGGGATGTTATCGACTTCTTGACAAATAAAATTGGTGATTTCATCATCTGATACACTTGTGAACGAAGATAAAATATTACATGGGATAAGAAACTTACTAGTACCATATAAATCGGTGATCTTTCGAACAAACTGGAAAGTGTGTGTGTGTTTGTTTTCATAAACGTTTGTGTACTGGCTCAGAAATTCCATATAATCGCTGAGCTACTTTGTGATAAGCTGAATTTATCATTGTCGACATAGGTCTTACAAGCATCTGTATTTACCTATACAGTGGTAACTTTCCAAAGAAACGGGTTACTTCACTTAAATACAGTATTCATTGGATACTAAATATTATTTCTCGAACTTATTTTCAGTAGCACCAGATATATCAGTTTTGTCAAGAACTCGATAACCAAGCTTTTTAAGTTTGTATCAATAAAACTTTCATGTGAAGTAGAAGAACTTTTAATGGTTAAGATTGAATAATCATTAAAGAGTAACCTTTTAATGTTCACCACTTATCAAACAAAATGAGTTAAGTTACACCTATTTGTCCCCTAATCGATTCTCTCCTATATCGACATACATTAGTTTCTACCCAAAAGTATGCAGAACTTATGTTCTTCAAAAGTTTCATCAAAGAAAACCGTCTGTGAAACAGATGGATTCTCCTAGATCTCCCGATTGAAGTATTTATGTTGTTTCCTTCCAAGAAAATGAATTGAAGCTTTCTTAGGTGGTTATTATTGATATTATTTTCCCCTTGGGCTCCTAGTGGAACAAAAGGGCTTCAGTAGCAAGTCGCCATTTCACTCTCTTCTCTCCGGTCTTTTCAACCTGGTTCCACCACTGCCCATACCCTTTCATCTCTTCCTCACATCATCTTCCCCATGTCATCCTCAGCTGGGACGCCTAACTCATCGTTTCCCTTCTGGGTTCCACTCGTGGACCTGGCCTGATGCATGATGTCGCTGAGTGGTTTTCTCAGTGCATGTCCAATCCATCTCCACTTTCTTCTGCATATTTGTTGGGTGATAGGTTCCTGGTTGGTTGGTTGCTAGACCAGAGTTCCTTGTTTCTTATTCTTTCTAACCATCTGATCTTCTTCTTAGGTAGTTAGTGATAAGTAATTCTGTATTATGATGTTCATTCACTATTTTCATAGTTTCAACATATTATCAGTACGTAACTAATCCCTGATTTCTATTTCCTCTGTTTTCATATAATTTCAATATAAAAACTGATTTGTTACGTAAACCTATACTAAATTATTTCATATGACATCTAAGAGAGTAATTTTATGTTTTTAAAAGAAAACAAAAAAATTTAGATTATGATTTGACTATCTAAGATAACCGTAGTTTGGCAGACTAGTATTTGTACTGGGTAATGATTAAAGGTGAAATGAAGAATTGGATCGTGGCCGGATTCGAACCAGCGACCACTGGGTTACTGGTCCGTTGTTCTACCAGCTGAACTATGAGATCCGACTACTGACCAGAATTTTATTTCACTTCAATCACTAAGGTGGGTTTTTGCCTAACTACCATGTAAATCCGTGATAAAATTTGGAATTTGCTTTTTAAAACTAAAAAAACTGTAACTTACTTTGACACAAACCATCAATTAAGATATGGATGACCTTGAAAAGTTTCTTAGGATATATGTCAATTCTCTTACCTATAATTACAATGTATCAACAGTTTTTAACGGTAGTTATATATAATGAATTAAATAAATTCATAGAGAAAATCTTTTACAGACTTATTTATCACTACAATATAAATTTGGAGATTATACTCATATACTTTTAAGAAAGGTGAATATAACAGTGTGTATTGCCTTCCATCTTCAAAGTTAATTATTTCTAGATGAATTTATTCCTATCTGTATCCAAAATAATCATTAATCTATTGGTAGTAACATTTATAGTTTCACATTAGAATATCAAACATATTTCAACTTACTGGTACCATAGAAGTTAGTATTTCTTTTATAATTTCTCAATGAATACCTATATAACTCACTGGGAAGCAGATAAATCCAGCTGATGAATCCCAAATAGGACGAAATGCGCATCTTGGATTCTACTGCTAGCTACTATCCATCTTTTCTAGAACTAGAACTACACAGGTATATCGAGGCACCTGCACAGGAGCTTATATGTCAATAGAGACCGATCGATTCGGTCCAATCAACGATGGTATAATACAAGCAATAACAATAATTTTATTCTTCTGATTTGCTATGATGTACGAATGAAGATCAAGTTATTGAAAATTAGTTTATCTTTTAACAAGGATTAGTAATCTTTATTTCTCATTCATTGAATAAACTGAAATATCAGTCACATTTGTTACCGATAAGCATTCAGTCTCCAGCCTATTAATTACACAATTAAATGTTTCTTGATTTACTATCCAACATGTAGAACAAGATATTCAGCAAAGAGACTCATTTCAACGAATTTATTTTCAAGTTGTACAATCGTATATACATGATATTTGTAAAATTATATCCCATGAGGAAAACTAAACATCATATGATGGTGATGACAATTATAATAAAACGGATGATGACACAGGTATTTGTGATTATAATAACACTGGTTAGAACTTCTGGATGAATAGTGCTTCAGCTATAGACAGATGCCTAGATTTTACTCCCTTCGAGTAGTTTGATCGAACCCTGTAGAGAATTTTGAATGAGTTCTCGAAAGGAGTTAAGTGGCCTGAGTTCACGAGGTGTTCTGTTATCGAACTGAAGATGCATTCCGTTCTCCCTTTGCAAGCCAGGCACGGTAGTATCCACGGACACGTTTTAAAAGCGGACGAATGGTACGGTCGATGCATTCAGCTCCACAAGATTAAGTAAACTGGTATACACACACTGATGTGGCCCAATGCACCGGCTTGTATTACACATATTAGCCGAAAAGTTTCTTGTAGGAGAAGATTATCCGAAGGTTGGTGGCGAAGTATGTTCTGTTTATGGATTTTGACAATCGTTTCCTGTGGATGTCTGCAGCAATATCATTTTTGAATTCAAGATCCAAAAAAAGAATCCTTTTCGACGCTAAATTTGTTCTCACAGTTGGTTTGTTTGCTTTTATGTTCTTATTTATGACTGTGAGCGGGAAACAGTTTTCCGTTAGAGTTTGTCGAATATTTTTCAATTCTCCGTCAAAACTATCCTCAGTACATATTTTCCTAGTAGTAGAATAAAGTGGATGGATAAAACTTCCCTTCCTACATAGAGGAATTGAACTTTGAAAATTAATAAAGTACTCGTTCCATGTAGGCTTTCTGTATATGGATCTACGAAGTGAATTATCGTCTTTTCTATGGAGTTCAACATTAAGAAAGTAGAACATTGAGTTTGATTCTGATTCTATAGTGAATATGGCTGAAGGAGTAGGCCTTGTTGAATGTGTGAAGCAAGTTTGCAAGATTCATATCTTCATCACAAACTATAAACGTATCATCCATGTATCTTTTGTAGACATGAAGTTCATTGATTGTTGATGATAATTTGGTGTCATCAAAGCAGTCATCTAGGAGGGGTCCTAGTGAAAGCCCCATCGCCACACCATCTACCTGCCTGTAGATCTAATTATTAAATCTGAAGTGTACATTGAAGGAACATAGAAGGAGAAGTAGTGAATTGGGATACCAAGATCTATGTTGTGACGCTGGATGAATTCGCAGAGGAAGCAGATGTTTTCTGTCAGTGGGACATTTGTAAAGAAAGAGACGACATCCCATGAAATCATTCTCTCACCAGCCAAATTGACACTCCTTACTGAGTCAACAAAATCAAATGTGTCACGGATACTGTAGTTCAGTAGCCTCTTCTTTACAAGTTCCAGCACTTCCACAAGCCATTTCGCGATTGAATGATATGGAGAATTTATCATATCTAACATTGGACGGAGTGGGATGCCTTCTTTGTGTATTTTATGGAGACCGTATAGACGGGAGATCGTAGGACCTGATGGGCGAGGTTTTTCATATACTTCAGTGCTAATGACTGATTCATCTCTCATTTTCTTCAATGTTTTCGTCAACTGCAGCTTTGTTTGCTCAGTAGGGTTTTCTGTGTTGTCTGTTTTAAGAATTTATTTTCATCGGATAGAATGAGTAAGAGTTTTTCCAAATAGTCTGATTTGTTTAGTAGTACTATTCCAGAGCGTTTGTCCTGGCGTATCATGATGAGATTTTCATTTTTCTTTAGTTCATTCAACTGATTTCGATGTCCTTTTGATAAAAGATGTCGATAGAGAGATTTCTTATTTATATAGTCCAGACAGCAATTTAAAACTGTTGATTTGAAATGGTTAGCATCATCATCATATGAAACTGAAACTAGATCCTTGGTTTGACTAATAAGATTTTCCAACTGGACATTCATGTGGAGCTCGTCGACTTTTGAAGTTACATCACAGAATTTAGGTCCAAGTGACAAGATTTGAATTTGAATTCGGGATGGTGATATATTAGAAAAGTTGAATACATATTTTTCAGGACATGATAGGAGGGATATTTCTTTGGTTATAGACTCCAAGCTTTTACATAGCTTCAAGTTGACGTCATTCGTTCGCTTCTTAGTAATAGTAGCAACGTAGTTCTCAAATTCTGTTCTTTCATTGGCAGATAATTTGAAAAGAGCATGTGATTTTTGTGACAGATTATGTTCAAGCTCTGGTAGTCGGGAAGTACGAATGACAACAAAGTAGATTACATAATATATGGAATGGTTCATAGAAGGTATACAACTCAGAAGGGGATGAAAAAAATTGATGAAAGTGGTATTCTACAACAGGATTAGACAAATTGGTCAAGATGAAATCAATGTTTTCTAGAAAGACAATTAGGTGATATAACACCGAGAAGTAACCAAAATGAAGGAAAATTATAATAACAGTAATACTGATAAAAGGAAGGATACAAAGGTTAAACTAACAACAAGGAGGTGGGGGAAGCTAATGGGGTGGGAAAATGTTATGGCCATGGTAAAAAAACAGTGACTGTACACACTTCTTCATGTACACACTGATCAGATCTCAGTTCATGAATTGGTAAAGCCTCCACTGTTTTGAGGAGTTGAAAACCAAGAGAACGTGGGAGGTTTGGGTGAACTTGATAGACAATTTTAAAGTTATTGTCTGAGTTTGTTGAGTGACGGAATACAATCAAATGTTGCAGAATAGAACTTCTAATAGACTTTCTTTCACCTTCATAAAACCAAGCAGGAACATGTTCTCGTACATGTGTAGAAAGCATTCTCTGACTACGGTTGATGTCTCTTGCTGTGCAAAACCAGGCGAACTGGTAGATGCACCCAGTGGCAGTCAAACGAGGAAGCTTATTTTTAACAGAAATGGAGAATAGTTTACTGCTGATAAAAGTCAACTGAAGTCTTACTGCGAAGAAAGTTCTATTGATTGATTTGCATAGACGATTCCTCAGAACATCTGATCCCTGGTCATTATTTGAATTCTAGCCTCATGAACAATCTTTTCTTTGAGACCGAGTGGATCATCGGTTTAGTATTTCTTTCTAGCATATTTTTATCAATAAAACGACATAGGTAACCTTTTTTGACAAGTGTGCTTTTAAAAGAGATAGGTGTTCATCAATACAATTTTCACTACAGATATTTCTTATTCGATAGCAGAGAGAGTGAATAAGATTTCTTTTTCTGTTGACAGGCACCCAGTTATAAAAATTAGTTATTTTGTCCGTTCTACGTTGCTTTTCCATCGATGGATATTTTGAGGTATCCATCCTATCACTTTGTGATAGAACTTCTTCCCTTCTGTTACAGACTTCTCTTTCTGTTCGCCTGATATACAGACGCTGAAAGTGCGAATGAAATTATTAACTATGCTGTGAATAGCTAGAAGGGGTCTCTTACTATACTGAGATTCTGTCATTACATTCCTTGTATCATATACAAGTGACAACCAAGACGAACTTCAATTTAGTGAGCTGCAGGCTCCTAGTCTGAAATTTTTTATCCCATATTCTATCAAAGTAAAACAGAAAGGTGAATTCTGTTTTTAACTTTCATAGTTCTTAAGTTAGTATTCATCACGAACTGACATCAGTTGAAGAAACATAGGAAACTTGGGAGCACTGGACAGCTGTGCATTCATGACCTCGTCGTCCCACCAGGGATCGAACCCAGGACCTTCAGGTTCAGTGACCAGTACATTATCATTGAGCCACTGGGTCTGAATCCAATGGTTCATATTTCCAACCTCTCTCAGTTCACGATATAGTTCTGTTTGAGGAAATGATTCTTAGTGAACTTTCTTAGCTTGTAGTAGTACTTTGGAATGCACCATTATTGTTGACTTTTAATTAGATATTAGTTCTTTAATAAAGACAGAAAAACTATCCACTTACTTCGTTTGTAAAACTTGATTCACCTAAGACAATATCATCTTGTCCACCAGTATGGAAGAATATTTGATCAGCAATACGTATTGCAGCAAATTCAGCAGGGACAAAACAACCTATTTGGGCTATAATTTGTATATAAGCAATTTGTCTTAGGTAGGTTGTTTTTCCACTCTATAAACAAAATATATATCAAATATCCTTTTACGATTTTTTTAAGTTTTAGCGCACGGCTTTAGTAAAATTTAAGAATCATACTTCATATGAAAAAAGTTTATTATTAATTTTCTACTTTCACAGGAAAATTATCCAGAGGCAAAAGTCTTCATTAGGTAATTAGAATAAGTTATCATTGTGACTATCTGAGATAACTGTAGCTTGGCAGACTAGTATTTATACAGGGTAGTGATTAAAGGTGGAATGAAAATCTAGACGGTGGCCGGATTTGAACCGTCGACCACCAGACTTCCGAGCCGATGCTCTACCAACTGAGAAAGAGGTCCGACTACTGACCGCATCCTTGGGTGGAAAACCTGGTGGTAGCTGGTTCGAATCCGGCTACGGTTCAAATATTTATTCCACCTTTAATCATCACCCAGTATAGTATACGAATGCCAGATGTGTTACTATTACGTAAAGCCTGACCAACCCTACTTAACTCGATGTGCTCTATTACCTGCTTAATCAATACCTTACCTAACTTGTAAGTACTGATAACATAACACAAATCAAAAAGACCGGTATTCAGGAATATATTCGAAGGAGTAATTTATTTAATTAGAATAAATATGATAGTGATCATTAGAAGGATAGGTTTATCTAACTTATCTGGCTAGTATGGATGAACTAGGGATTATTAGGATGTGAGTGTTAACCAGCACAAAGGGAACGCAAAATAGCATCTAAGTCTACTCAGATGCATGCTCGTTAAAACAAAACGTAGAACATCTTAAGCATTATGAGGCAAGCTAGAAGTTTACTTAGTTAATACTTACTTAATTTAACTTAATTTATGAATCTTAGCTCTAGTTGCATTTCGATGCCAGGAAGGTGCACTACAATACAAAGTTAAATATTTTGGTGTGCCGATATGGCTCTACTTAGTCTTGCATAGCACCAATCACAGTGCCTCAAGGTTGGAAATGCATTTTATTGCTTATTTAAGCGAAATTTAACAACTGGTAGATATTCTCACCTGTGACTTCATGTGATATTTACTTTTACGCGTAACCGTCTAGCATTAGAATTTATATACTGTTCAAGATTTTTGACCGTAGTATAGAATATTATTCATGGTAGCGATTACCATTATCACTGAATAACTCATCTAAGTAGACTTCTGAACAGCACCTATTATGCATTTTCGAACTAAGTTGTCGCTCTGCAAAATGCTCTGGGCAATAGATGCGATTATTTTCAGAATGATGAGGTATAAACACCTATGTCAGAGAATATTTTCGTTTCACAATAGTAATCTAACCATAAACATTTAAAAAGGACGGATAGTGAGTCAGTGAAACCAAGTTTGCTGCATTTGCAGTATACAGATTAATGCAGAATATATAGTTGTATTGTTTCACTAGTAATTTACTGCTTTTTTAAACCAAGATAGAGAAATCTGAACATCATTTTTTTAAGTTGGTATTCATCATGGACTGACATCAGTTAGAGGGAAATTGGAAGTCTGGGAGCAATGGATGGCTGTTTCATCCAAGAATGGGACTCATCAGCAGTGCTCACCCATCACCCCGCACACCCCACCACAGATCGAACCGACGACCCTCATATCCCGTGGACAGCATGCTACCACTCAGCTACTATCTGAATAGAATTCAGTGGTCAGTATTTTCAACTTTTGTCAAATCGTGACATAGTGCGACCATCATCCAATGTCATCGTTGAGTATTTGTCCTCACAACCACCGGGTTTGCTCCACCGGTCACAACTCCTCATAGGAACTTCAGGAATGACCTCTCTCATCTCATGAACACCATTTGACAACTACCAACTCTAAATAAGAGTGGTATTTGGGTACCATATTAAAATATAATTCTATTATTGTTCATCGTCCCGTATACATATAATGAGATATCACACAGTGAAACAGTTTTATTTAACGGATGATGTCTGATGCACAATTTAATCCCCATGATAATCACAAATTTCTGATCGAAATTCTATAGTACTGTTGTTTCTCACTATCTGATTCTATTGGTTGTAAAACTTCGCACATATCCGGCATTGGTGTTGCATCATTCCTATTACGTTTGTCAGGTGACTACTTGATCGGCAAGGGTTAAGCGATCAGCTTCTCTTCTCTTCATATGGTAAAGCCATATGTACGTACATAGTCTCCCTTTTTTACTTCACCATCTCTTTATTAATTACTTACTGACTGTTACTCACCCAGCCTGACGTTTTTCCAGTTTTTTCAAGTAATTACGTAACTAATCAGCTTTTTAACATTCCTCACTGCTTGTTGTCTCTCTTCCTGCTTTCCGCTTCCCACAGATCCAGAATTATCTATCTCATTAGATATAAATTGCCACCGGTTTTGACTAAGGTTTATGATTAATAATCCTATGTTTCGTTGACTTATTACCTTATTTTTGATCCTTGATTTCGAATCTTCATTTATTTACATACACTTAAAGTGTGTTATGCCATTATTACTACTGATAGTTCATCTCAATTTTACGCTGTTTCGCAGCTCATTTCATTCTGAAAATGTCCTCGTTCTTGCACTGTCCAAGTTCTTTGTATTTCCTTTATCCAGTCGAGATTTTCACATTTTCCTAGTCAAATTCATGTCCACAGTTGTCTGTATGCATTGATATTTCATGACGCTTCACTGCTAATTGGTGTTCATATAGACGGATACGAAGAGGGTGGGTGACTACTGTAACCAATGTAGGGTTTTTCGCAGTTTCTGTAGTTTATTTTCCGGACAATGTTTGGTTTGTCTTGCTTTGGCAATGTATCTTTTGGACTGCATAACAGAGACTGAAGAGATATGCTCATTTTATTCCACAAATGTATCTGTTATTGAATTGCTCGAAAAGAATGAGACTTAGAATCCTTATGTAGGATTCTCGATATGACCGGAATTAGAGTGATTTTTAAACTTATCAGATGTTTTTGGGTAAAAGATCCTGTCGAGCCGATCAGACAAATCAGCTTCGTCTACCAAATTACAGGCATTGACCATGATGCCTAATGCATAGGTCAACATGTTAAACCAGAATCAATAACGGTTAGCACAGAGCGGAAGGTTAGGAGAATGACAGACCGTAGCTGAAGTAGAAATCCATAATAGAGCTCGGCTATAGCTGTAAGCGCTCTCCTACAATCAGATAATAGAATAGGGTTCAGTCCTAGCTAATTTAAGATACTGGCTCAAAAACATGTTTTTTTCATGTCATTTTCAAGAATGATACAGAGATATGTGAGGTATGGTTTCGCAGCATCTAAATCTCATAAGTATACGTCTTCAACCTCTCTGTGAATGACGCAACGTGATTTTCTGAAGAAAAGGAAATGAGGGCATTCTTATTTAATGCGTTTCTATTCACCAAGGTTAACTGGAATTCGATTACTTGTAAAAATCTTATTCCTGTTATTTTGTTATCTCTTAAGTTAGATCTGTAGTTTATTGTGCGAACCAACTCCAGGAAATGTTCTACAGCATCCATTTCTCCCCCCCCCCTTAGTTACTTCATTCTACACCTAATTGTGTAAAAATATTCGTTTAAGGTTGTAATACATGAAAGATGTAATTAGAATACCGTTTTATGACTTATCTTGGATACATTTCAAACATATAGGTATGAATCAAATATTATTTTGAGAACGATTACCGAAAATGAAAATTCTTGAACATCTTTCACATTTCACCTTAAAGAAATGACAAAACCGATATACAGGGCATGTCCATACAAAATAAGACAGTAAATAAGCAGAGGATTTTACTGGAAAACACTGAACAGCTTCATTTTTGAATTCCAAATAACCGTCATCTTCCTTTGTTCTTAAAATGTTTATTTTCGATAACAACAACCAAAGATTAATACCTTTTATGTGAAAGTTGGATTTTCGGATAGCTATAAGCCTCTGGGAGAAATCATGGATATCAGTTAGTGACTGACATTTTAAAAGTATTGTTCAAGGCAAGATGTAAGTAGATATATGTAGATGCCAAGTAACCTCGCCTGGTTGACCAGTTCACTAGTTACTAGCCCGTCCTAAGCCCGGGTAAAGAGGGGAGGTTTGGCATACAGCTAGCAACCCTAACACAAAAAACCGATCCAACCGCTTCAAAAACTTCAAAGCACAGACAAAATATCAAAAATAAAAACAAAACTATTCCTTGCTGGAATCGGGGAGATGAAATGACGCCGGTTGGTCAAAGTCATCGGGAAGCCAATCGGTCTATGTGCCTTCGCTTCTCTCGATGAATGTAAAGTAAAAATGGGGACACAAAATATCCCAACCATGTTTGAACCTAGCAAGGCAGCCCAGATTGCAAAGGAGGTGAGAAGGTATGGAATAGAAGTGCTAGGGATCTGCGAAAGCAGGTGTAATGGAAGTGGACTCTCTAAACTGTCAACTGGAGAGTTGAAAATCAACTCCGGTCACCCAGACGACAACCATGAGCACAATGAGTTATGAAGTGGCTATTATGATATCCCCGAGAGCATCAAAGGCTCTCATACAGTGGGAACCAATCTCCTCCAGGTGATGGTGAAACCCAACCAACAACAACAACAACAAGCAACAATCACCATCAACGAAAGAAACTTAAAGAAAGTAGTCACTCTCACCTACCCACCTGAGCACGGTAGCATCGTTCCAACTACAGGAGGCACAGGCACAGACAAGGATGTCACAGCAGACAGGATCGAAAAGACAGCATAACAGACGTTCATTTACCTGAAACCAGTGTGGAGATCTTCTGCACTCCACTCAGCATGAGACGTGAACAACATGCAGATTTTCAACACTAATTCAGTGAATTCAGTGCTTGCATGTGATGGTTGAGAGACTTGTCGTGTCACGAAAAGTATTTGCAACAAACTGGAGACATTCATGAACAACTGCCACCTACGCTGGCTTGTTACTGAAGCTCAGATGGCCAGAATGATAAGAATCAGCAACAAGGGACTGTGGCTAGCTGGCTGGCTGGCAAAGAATCAACGAAGCAAGAACCTATCGCTGAACAAATATGCATTGGAAGGAAGTGGAGGGAGATGAATTGGGCATAACACTGAGAAGGCCGACTGGAGACATGACGCGCCAGGCCAGTCATTCGAGTGGAGCCCAAGAGGGAAACGATGACATTGGCAAGGATGATATGGAGGAGATCATGTGAGAAAGAAATGAGAGTTTGTGGGCAGTCGTGGTGCCAGGTTGAAAAGACTACAGAGAACAGAGTGTAATGGAGGCGTGCTACTGAAGCCTTATGTTCCACTAGGAACCCAAGGGACAAATAATAATAATTAATTAATTAATGGTCTGAAGTTATGGATAGTGAACTCATCATTTATTGCTCAATGAACTTGAACCAATTTTTTTGATAATGGTAGAAATGTTATGCAGACCATATACATAATAAATATTTAATTATTTTGCATTTTCAACTTAAAACTAGAAAATTTAAATGAATAGATAAATAACTTACCATTGGTGGCCCAGTTATAATATGAAAATTTGAATCAGGTGATGCATACTACATATAAAAGAAATAATAATGATAATAATTATGTTACTGTATGGTTTGGTATACATGGAGATTTCTGTTCTTGTTCAGTTACAATATTTCGTCCATTTCTAATACCAAGGGTATCACTGAATATTGGACAAGCTATGAATCAGAAATATAAGAAGTAAATGCATTAGATTTTGTATAGAATATTTGAAAAAAAACTCTTGTTTACAAAATATGGTCAACTTCATGGACTGTATTTACTTCTACGAATTTATTGATACACTGATCACTTAACTAATTACCTTACATAGTATCTGAGGGCTAATTATTTGATTGTAAGTGATATAATCACATACTAAGGTATGGGATAAGGTAACCAGGCTGACTTTCTAAGTTAATTCTTGATAAGTATTTGGACTAGATTGTAAAAGATCCTAATTTTAGACCTAACATGTTATTCTCCTACCTACTGATTGATTTCATCTTAATTAGTTTCTTTCTCTAAAAATTATGAGTAGTAGAGCCTATCAACTAGCAAGTATGATGTCATAATTTGCTTATTATTCATTTGTTAACATGAGGTTCTAAACCGTTTGTTCTTATGTCACACAGGAAGTATTGACCATATCACCCTATATTGCATAGAAGTGGTAATATGAATTTGATATACTCCTGAAAAAATATGAATATTGAATCAGTTTCTAGGTTGGTTCAGTTTCAGTAACTTTTATTTGGAGACAATCTATTATTATTATTATTTATCCTTTGAGCTCCTAGTGGAACATACGGCTTCAGTAGCATATCTCCATTCCACTCTCTTTTCTGCAATTTTTGAACCTGGTTCTACGACTGCCCACAAGCTCTCATTTCTTCTTCACTCTATCTCCTCCATGTCACCCTCACTACGGACGCCCAACTCGCTATTTCCCTAGAGGGCCTGACGCGTAATGTCTCCGAATGATCTTCTCAGTGCATGCATAATCCATCTCCCTCCACTTCCTTCCAATGCATATTTGTTCAGCGATAAGTCCTTGCTTCATTGATTCGTTGCCAGACAGCCAGAGTAGGCAGTTGTTAGTGAATATCTGTAGTTTGCTGAAAATGCCGTTTGTGACACACCAAGTCTCTCAACCATCACATGCAAGCACTGAATTCACTGAATTAGTGTTGAAAATCTGCATGTTGTTCACGTCTCATGCTGAGTGTAGTGCAGAAGATCTCCACACTAGTTTCCGATCTTGTCTGCTGTGTCGTCCTCGTCTGTGCCTGTGCCTCCTGTAGTTGGAACGATGCTGTCCTGCTCAGGTGGGTTGGTGAGAGAGACTACCTCATTTAAGTTTCTTTCGTTGATGGTGATTGTTGTTGTTGGTGTTGGTGGTGTTGTTGGTGGTGGTGGCGTTGGTTGGGTGTATTCATCACCTCTATCTTCTCTACATTCACTTGGAGTCCCATTCTCTCTGCCTCACCTCACCTCTTCTCTCAACTTGTTAGTCTTCACCTGCAGATCTTCAAGTTTGTGCGATAAGACATTAGACATAACTCATCATCGTGGGCGAAATCCGAATCTTCTAGGGTCTTTTCCGTGATCTAGAGTATCCCCCTCTCCTCTCTCCTCACTGTTTGTTGCATGATCTAGTCCACTAAAATCAGGAAGATCATGGGTGATAGTAAGTGGCAGCCTTGTCTTACTCCTGTCTTCACTTCAAAGACACCACTGAGTTTTCCATTGTGAATTACTTGGCATGTTGAGACAATCTATAGTACAGAATATTCAAGACGTTTTAATTTCAAAGTGTAATAATCTTCAGGTGAAATTAACAAAGAAGTGCATTGAGCATATGAAAACAAAACCTAAACAGTAAAGCTTCATATCTCCTTAGCTTACCAAAATTATTTTTCAAAGAACAGCTGATTGACATGTTAGCAAATGAAGCAATTAAATCTAAACCAGCTATCACTTCACATAAACGATAAAATAATGCCATATCTGGATGCAATCGAGTGATTAAATCACAGATAATTCTATGAATAAAGATTAGGCAAAATAAAAATAAATTATGAGTTTGATTATCTAAGATTACTGTGATCTGATAGACTAGGTGATGATAACAGGCGAAAAGGAAATCTGGGCTACGGTAAGATTTGAACCAGTCATGCTGATGATTCCCTTATTCATAGTTTAATATTGTACAAATTAATCAGCAATTTCAAAAAAAGGATACTCTATTAAACTATTTGGACGGTTCTGTTATAATGTGTACGCTACGAATAGATTAAATTTCATCCAATCTTACCAGCAAATGTAATACTATATATATATATATATATATATATATATATATATATATATATATATATATATATGACTTTGAGAAGGCCTTTGACAGCGTCGACCGAGAAGTAATTTGGAAACTGCTTCAACACTACGGAGTACCGCAAACCTTTATCCACCTCATTCAACAACTATATGAAGATGCCACATGCCAGCCAAGTAATTCACAATGGGAAGCTCAGTGATGCTTTTGAAGTGAAGAGAGGAGTGAAACAAGGTTGCTGTCTACTATCCCCCATGATGTTCCTGATTGTGGTGGACTGGATCATGCAGCAGACAACTGTGAGGAGCGAGAAGAGGGGGATACACTGACTGGACGACGGAAAAGAACCTAGAAGACTTGGATTTCGCCAACGATGACTTGTGCCTAATGTCACATAAACTTGAAGATCTACAGGCAAAAACTAACAAGTTGATAGAAGAGGCAGCGAAGACGGGACTTCAGGTGAATATAGAGAAGACAGAAGTGATGAAGATACCGCACCACCACCATCAAAAACAACAGCAAACTCCGGTCACCATCAACGGGAGAAACTTAAAGGAAGTAACCACCTTCACTTATCTAGGAAGCACTGTTTCAACTACAGGTGGGACAGACGAGGACGTCAAAGTCAGAATCGGAAAAGCAAGACAGGCGTTCATTAACCTGAAACCAGTGTGGAGATCTTCTGCACTCAGCATGTGGAACAAGATACGGATATTCAACACCAACGTCAAGTCAGTACTCCTGTATGGCTCAGAGACTTGGAGCGTCACGAAAGGGATTTGCAATAAACTACAGACATTCATCAACAACTGCCACCTACGCTGGCTCGCTACTGAAGATCAGATGGCCAGAATAATGAGAATAAGCAACAAGGAACTCTGGGAACGAACCAAACAAGAACCTGTCACGCAACAAATATGCAGGAGGAAATGGAGATGGATTGGCCATGCACTGAGAAGGCCGACTGAGGACATCACGCGTCAGGCCAGACACTCGAGTGGAATCCCCATGGGAAGCGACGAGTTGGACGTCCGAGGGTGACATGGAGGAGGTCATGCGAGGAGGAAATGAGAGCTTGTGGGCTGTCGTGGAACCAGGTTGAAAAGATCTCAGAGAACAGAGTAGAATGGAGACGTGCTACTGAAGCCCTATGTTCCACTAGGAACCCAAGGGACTAATAATAATAATAATAATATTATATATATATATATATATATATATATATATATATATATATATATATATATATATACTCCCCCGACATATCGAATTCGTTGAGTGAATTACAATTCTAAACAGAACTTGAAATAATCATTTTTAAAATCTATACAACATCTCACTTATTGATAATATTTACTAACTGAATCGTGTTATAAAATTTCACGTTACACTTTAGTTTAAATAATAAATTTTTTTTAGTAATACTGTGAGTATCTTCAGGCATACTTAATAAAAAAGTATTCTCATTTTCATTGATAAAGTTGACAATAATATAAGTGTAAAACTTGGGTACTGTGGTAGAATGTAATTCCATATTAGACTTGTTTATTTGATTTATAACATACAGTGGGATACAATAGTATCTACTTCATAACGTTTCGAGCAGAAATTATTATCACTCATAATCATATCAATGTAATCACACTCTTTTCGACAGTTGATAGTTTTAGTCCTGTCATCCACCTAATACTCTTGGTTTTTATTGGTAGTGAAATTTTCCATATTTCTGGTATAGATGTTGCATCATTCCTATTACATGTGTTTGGTTTAGGTAGATTCGATGGACTCAGTAATCAATTTCTCTCTCCACCTAATTACAGTTGGCTGGTTTAATTTAATACTCCCAAACTAACAATCCTGGAAAGGATTTATGGTACTATTCAGGTTTATAAACCAGATTATCCCATTAGACTTATAGTTGATATGGTGACGATATGTGTGCGATACATCTGCTCTGTTGACATCGGAACATATTGACAACTTTCTGACACATATAAACTGTGTAGTAGGTTCAATTCAATTCACTCACGTGGAAGTGGAAAATGAACAATGAGAATTATCTATGTTAGATTGCAGGATGAAATGAAGGACAGACAATGGTTTAGATACTATCGTCTACAGAAAACTGACACATTATAACAGGTATCTTGACTTCAGATCATCTCATCCAATATCACTCAATTAAGGTAGGTTTAGTCAAATGTCTAAGTGATAGAGTCAGAAAACTAACTAGTCATTGCAAGGACCTAAACAATGAACTGAAGCACATAAAAGAAGCACTAATAGTTAATAATTATTCATGGGAAAACATAAGAAACGAAATAATAACAGTAACACGAGAACGGATAATAACGATAACATGAGTAGAAAGGAGTTCACAACCTTCATGTGTTACACTATAAGGAAGGCACATCAGAACCTTAACGTAGGATCATCAATAAAGCTGGAAGTAGGGTAGCACTGAAACCTACAAACTCACTGAGAGATAAGCTTTGTGGACTGACTTAGGGATCCGATTAAACCAATTCAACAAAATAATCTAATCTACCAAATTCCCTGTAATGACTGTGAGGTCAAGTACATAGGTGGAACTAGCTGGTCGGAGTCAGTCAGATTAGCAGAACATAGGAATTTAGCTCAACATAGAATAACAGACCAAAGTAAAGTGAATAATCTGGAAAAACTCGGTTATTGCATCGCATTCATTAATACACATACATACCATAGGATGGGATAAAATCACTTTTCAACATTCAGCCAACACATTTAGCAATAGTAATGACGCAACACCTATATAACTAACAGAGATATGAAAAACTTTACTATTAATCAAAACAAAGAATGTGATGGATGGGATATAAAAACTAAATGTCGAAATCTAGCTGTATGATTACATTTATATAATTATGAGTGATAATTTATGCTCGAAACGTTGTCACCAAGTAAATAATACTGTATCATACTGTGTATTATAAATCAAATAAACAAATCTAATATGGAATTAAAAGTTGGCATTGATTGGTATTAATATGAGTACCTGCTTAACCTGATCGAAACAAACTGAAAAGTGGATCTAAACAATTTTTTTAATTCTGATACACACACTCTCCTTGAATCTTGGTCTTAATTTCATTTTAGTCTGTTTATCACATATATCACACAGTGAAACAGTATCATTGACTAGATAACATTTCGGACACAATTTACTGTACGCAGTCACATCAGGTAACTGCACAACACTGAGACAGACTTTACATATTCCTAATTTTCTCTCCTTCTCTGTGATAATACGGATAGTAGAATTTTCCATAAATCTGGGATAAGTGCAGAATCATTTCTACTACTACATGTATATTTGGTGTTGATTCAATAAACAAAGATTCGGTTATCAATCACTTCCTGCCTCTCCATTCAATTAAGTTAGTTTACAATACTGTCGCTTTATCCCCTCCTATTGTATGATTGTGTATCATCGTATTCAGAGTTATAGCCGAGCTTTTCTGTAAATTTCTTATCTTATTAGGATCTACTAATCTTGATTTAGCTAAGTTTTTGTGCAGTAAATGCTACTGTTTCATTGTGTGATATTTCTAATAAACAGACTACAATGGAATTACAATCGACCACAGTGCCCCCAAGTTTTTCTCTTATATTGGTCTAAATTTGTTACATTGAAATTATTTGTCTATGCATCTCAAAATAAAAGTATATAAACTTCTATTTTCTCTTGGATCCCTTCATGATAAAAATAACACTGATAATAGAAATGGTGGCTTACGACTCTTGTCTAGTTTAGTTCTCAAATTATCAGTTAGATAAATTAACTGAGTCGGTGAGTAGTATACATAAACTGAAGCTTTGACCTTTGTTGAAAATTCAAAAATATTGTTCAGTAGAATTTGAAATGATAACAAATGTTTTGCATTAATTCGATTTAACATTTTTATTCAAAGCACACAATTTTGTGCATAACATTATGTAACCATTGAATGTTGAATAGAATGGAATAATTTCCTCAAGTTTTATTACTCGTGAAAGCAACTGGTGAACCCAGAAAATGATCGGTATTATTTTGAATGATAAGATAACAAGGTAAAAACAAAATTTTTGCTTTAAGACAATTTTAAATATCTTTTGGTAGGTATCCAGGCAGAACGGTTCCAATGATTTATCTCATCAGTGGATTTATTTATAAACTGAATGAAACAAAACGCCTTATCATCTTAGAAATTATCTTGTTTCCTCACTACTGAATACTGGATGTTATTGGTGTATATTCTTCATTCTTTATATTATTGATAGGTTCTCTAAGTATTTCACATATTTCTACTTATTACCATGCAATTTGCAAAATAAGTTTCACAAATTTCTGGGAAAACAATACTTTTACTGAAAGAACTTACTGATCAGCAATATGATATACTTCGTAAAGCGATCCTTTCATGCGTTCTGTAATTAAAGTTTTAATGACGCAGAGAAGGTAAGGGATGTTGTTTACTGCAAACGTCATGCATAACTGAATGAGCTATCAGTCATGAAGATTCCTTTATCATATATATATATATATATATATATATATATATATATATATATATATATATATATATATATATATAACACCAAGTTAAGATGGCCGATGAGCTTGTCTATGCGAAAATGTGTGGGTTGCAGGTCCATTCTCATACCGATAGTATATAAATATGATATGCTAAGACATATCGGTGAAATCTTTATATCAAAAAGGAAATGAAACTGATAGAATTATACATGATAAAAGAATCATTATGATTGAAATCTTAGAGAGACATGCGGCACACTCAAATCACACTGAATTCAGTAATAACAGGTTTATGAGGCCCTTAGCTTTCCGGGGTCACACATGTGCTATAATGATGGTGCCAGCGAGTCTGCAGACCAGGCCCGAAAAAATAAATATATTAAAAAGTTTCCGGACTCGTTTGCTCCATCATTGTAGCGCATATGTGGTCCTGAAGCGCTAAGGGCCTTATAAACCTGTTATTACTCAATTTTGTGTGACTTGAGTGTACCGCGTGTCCCTGTAAGAAGTATAAACTAGTATCGCACTCTCTGGAGAACGACTACACCACTTTATAAAGAAGCAGTGGAAGCTGTACCCTGAACGAGGACAGGGGATAAGTCTACTGTTTCGCCGGTTAGAGTTTCGTTCGTTATCGGGATTAACCGGACAAATCGCTCCACCAACTAAGAATGGCCATGCACTGATGATTGTCAGTGCATCTCCAATTGTAGTACAAATGATATCGGAGTAAACTGTGGTATAAATTAAGCAAAGCATTCACAACGTTACACACTGAATATTCCAATATTATTTAGTAACTGTTTCACTTGATGAATCAACTTATTGTGCACTTTATTTCGCTAGATATCGTATAAAAAATTATTTTGCTGTGATTGAAGTTCACCCAGCAACCCTGTGCACATTCGTGCAGTGGGCAATGAACTACACATATAATGTGTAGGGTTAATGATGCCACATGTTTGCTCAAACTATTTATTTGTCCCTAGGATTCCTAGTAGAACATACGGCTTCAGTAGCACGTCTACATTTCACTCTCTTCTCTACAATCTTTTATACCAGGCTCCATGACTGCCCACACACTCTTATTTCTTCCTCACACAATCTCCCACATGTCACCCTCAACTGGGACGCCCAACTCGTCATTTCCCCTCGAGGGCCTGACGCATGATGTCCACGAATGGTCTTCTCAGTGCATACCTAATCCATCTCTACTTCCTTCTACTGCATATTTATTGCGAGATAGGTTATTGCTTCATTGGTTCGTTGCTCGGCCAGAGTTCCTTGTTGATGATTCTTATCATTCTGGCCATCTGAGCTTCAGTAACAAGCCAGCGTAAGTGGCAGTTGTTCATGAATGTCTCCAGTTTGTTGCAAATGCCCTTCGTGACACACCAAGTCTCTCAACCACCACTTGCAAGCACTGACTTCACTGAATTAGTATTGAAAATCTGCATGTTGTTCACGCCTCATGCTGAGTGGAGTGCAGAAGATCTCCACACTGGTTTCAGGTGAATGAACGTCTGTTATGCTGTGTTTCCGATCCTGTCTGCTGTGACGTCCTCGTCTGTGCCTCCTGTAGTTGGAACGATGCTGCCGTGCTCAGGTGGGTAGGTGAGAGAGACTACTTTCTTTAAGTTTCTTTCGTTGATGGTGATTGTTGCTTGTTGTTGCTGTTGGTGGTGTTGGTGTTGTTGGTGGTGGTGGCGTTGGTTGGGTGTAATCATCACTTCTATCTTCTCCCTTCATTCACTTGGAGTCGCATTCTCTCTGCCTCACCTCACCTCTTCTCTCAACTTGTTAGTTTTCCCCCATACATCTTCGAGTTTATGCGGTGAGACATTAGACACAAGTCATCGACGAAATTCAAATCTTCTAGAATCTTTCACCCAGTCAAACAGCGTATGCCCATCTTCTCGCTCCTCACTGGTTGCTGCATGATCCAGTTGACCACAATCAGGAATAACTTGAGTGATAGTATGTGGCAGCCTTGTTTTACTCCTGTCACCTGTCTTCACTTCCAGTGCAAAGGCATCACTGAGCTGCCCATTGTGAAATACTAGACATGTGGCATCCTCATATAGTTGTTGAATGATGTTGATGAAGGTTTGTGGTATTCTGTATTGTTGAAGCAGCAGTTTCCAAATTACTTCTCTGTCGAGGCTGTCAAAGGCCTTTTGAAAGTCGATGAAGTTGAGGTGGAGTTCAGTTGACTACCATTCTACACTCTGTTCTATGATGATGCGTAGCGTTGCGTTGCAATTCGGTTCGCACATGATTTGTTCTTCCTGAATCCAGCCAGCCTGTTGGGGTTGTAGTTTTGAATGCAGCACATCCTTTAGTCTCTCCAGGTTGATGCAGCATAATATTTTGCTTTTGGTGGGCAGGAGCATGAATTCTCGCCAATTCTTTGAAAGACTAAGGTCGCCCTTCTTCGGGAGTTTGGCAAGATAGCCCTTCTTCCAGTCAATTGGCTGGTACGTTTCCTTTCTTCCTCACACGTTTTCAGGAACAGTGGTGTGAGCATGTCCGCCGTTGTCCCTGCGTCTGTTCTCAGTGCTTCTGGCGGGATTCAATTTGGCCCTGTTACTTTCTCGCATTTCAGTAGCATAGTGGAGTTCAGGACATCGAATTTCGTCGGATGGCTTGTGTTCACTGGTAGTTCTGTAGCTGCAGGTGGCATTTCTGGACGAAATGCTTTTATTTAGCACAGTATCAATCATGTAATGTTTGATTATCTGTATTTTCTTCATTATTATCATCATCTATGTTGAATCTAAACAATTAAATAATTCAAATCCCGAAATATGCTTCAGAGACACTCACATTTACACTTCATGCTTGAGAAAGATAAACAAACCCTTGAACTAGACATGATCATAAAATGACATCAGATCTTGTCATCAAATCTCGAAGCATCCTGACTTCAGTTTATGAGAAGAAACCAATTCATATTCATGGTTTATTAAAACTCTATTAATAGCAAAGCTATTCTCATCCTTTTACTGGAAAATGCATCTAAACAGATTGATATTCTTACACATTGTGATACAGGGAAATCTCATACACATAATCAAAATGATGAATGAATCGAGTGGACCTGTCCTTCTTCGGTTCTATGGCACACCAAAACTACGAAAACCACATATGTCTGTCTCTACGATCAATAGTCTGACTTCCAGGAACTCCGAATCACAACACATCAAGAGAACTATCGACAAAACTGAAACACCTTCTTCAATCATACAAACATTCCACAATATCACCAACAGAATTCTTAGAAAACATCCAAAGTATTGGCATTGAAAACGACGAATTAATGGTATCCTTCAATGTCACAGCATTATACACATCCATCGAAACCCAGTTGGTCAGGGAAACTATGTCCCCCACCCCACTGATCAATGAAGACACAAGTCCTCCAGAACACACAAAACTCAAATGTTCAAATATCATAGAACTCATCAACATTTGCCTCACAACAGATGAAAGGAACTCTAATGCATTCACCAATATCCAGACTAATTGCACATCCAGTGATGCACAGACTGCAAACCATCAGTCTACCATTGATTAAATCGAAATTTCGGATTCGTCATGTAGACGATACTTTTGTCACCATTAAAAACAGTGATGTGAATAACACTCACAGTTTGATCAACAACATTTCCAATGATGTGGAATTCACAGTGGAGAAGGAGTCAACCAACCAACCACCATAGTCCTGGATGATTTAGTCAGTAGGACGAGTGATGAAAAGCTGAAAACTCAAGTGTACAGGAAGACAACACACACTCATCAAATCCTCAACCACATCAGCAACAACCCGACGATACACAAAATTAGTTGCACGCAGACTCTATTCACAAGAGCAGTACAACGACTTCACGGAGAAATGAAGATAATTACTTGCTATTCATCCTAAAATAGAACGACTACACAAGACACTTTATCAGAACATGCCTATCCCGTGCATCATCAACTACAAAGTCATCGACACAAATCAACAAACACATCACCCTACCGTACATTCAGAATATATCAGAAGTGATGACAAGATTGCTGACACCACTCGGTGGAATTGGTGTAGCTCATCAACCAACAAGTTCCCTCGAGACACTATTATGCAGACCAGAGGATGCAACAAGCAAAGAAGACAAAGCGAATATCATTTGGAAAATCAACTGCAACAACTGTAGTCAACAGTTGATTGGAAAGTGGTCACCCTCTTCGCCTTCCTCTGCATGAATTCCAGTTGGTTATTCACTGTCACGACATCTCATCACTCATTTCAATGCACCTGGATCACAATTATGGAGATGGATTCAATTTTGACAATGTCGAAATCTTGGAAGAAGGGAGGAAACGGAGAGAATATCAGAGAATTCCTAGAAGCTTGACATTCAGGTCAGTTAGTCAGTCAGCAATGACAATAGATGTGTAGACATAGATCGAATCTATTACTTGTAGAGGAAAGTGATAAATGACTGGAAGGTGAGAGTTGAAGTAGAGGAACAGCCAGCAGGAAAATCTATACAATGAGTCAATGACACAACAATCGAAGGGAAAAACCAATCACAGACCACAGCGTCAGAGCAAGCCACTAAATCACTCACTCACTCACTCAGTGACGGAGAGATATTGACAGCTTACTCACTTCATACTGAAGTTAGTGTTGATGATGTCGCTATCTAGAAAGACGATGAAAGCTTCACGATTAAAGAACCCAGTTGAGAGAACACAACATTGCGAAGGTCATCCACCTGAGCTACAAATATTCTCCACCACTCAAATTCTATATTACATGTTGAACCAATGATGGAGGCTTGCAGGCTGTAATATCAAAAACTATACCATAGCCGTCAGACAAACAGTGGCTACTGTAAGCCGATGGCCTACTGTATAACGCCTCTATGTTTGAAGCGAATGGCCCTGAGTTTGAGTCTTCGTAGGAACATCATCACTCACTTGATGGCAGGTACGTCCAGTTGATGAGTCCTAAACAGAACGAAGTGTTCCTCTCGTATTACACTGCTAGCCACTATACATAATGATTAAGATGTAAGAACAGCTGGTGTAAATAAAAGTTATATACATATATCGTTAATAGGTTTCATATCAAAATGTGGAACTAGTCAGTATTTTAAATATGAAGCAACTTCATATATTACAACAACCTATAGAATAATTGATATGAGGACATTAGTTGCCATCCAATGATAGATCAAAGTGTTTTTTGATATAAGATAATTTCTGTACAAATAACTATGCAGCGTATTACCTAACACTTACTTTCGTAGCTGGGAAAAGGATAGAACACGTTGAACCTGTAGAAAGCTTCATTTTATTGTGCCTAGTTGATATTGTTCACAGGGTGAATAAAATAAAAGCGTTTAAAGTAATCCACACCGTACCATCGAACCTTTCCGATAGGGTTTGGACTCATCTTTTATATATAACTGAGGCCATAGGAATTCGAATGAACAATTCGGAACTCTGTATCCCCAAAAGAATTTGTATAATCTTTATCCTTGCCTTGGCCAGAGAAGACTTACTGAATGACCTAACCCATAAATTTTTAAAATGCTCTCCTTTTTCTTTTTTATTTTATTTTTGTCTACCGTTTCACATTCAAACTTTGTTTATCCACTGCCTTTATCCTGCAGTATTACACAACCTTACTGTCATTTTTCCAGTTTTCGCCTACTTTATCTGTCTGTTTGAACACCTGCCTACATTCTCAACATTGCTATTATCCTTTATAATGGTAATAATTTTATTACTCAAAAGTATACAGTCCACTTCTTTGTTACCATTGACTTACAAATTACCTTGATTGCTTTATATCGCATATGTAGGTTGAAAGCTATGTATATTAGAGTGAAGTTTGAGGAAATCTAATTGAAAACAACTTGTCTTGATAAAATAGCTTACCGTTGAGACGAATCTAAAAGAATAAAAAGGGAAAAAATCTTTTCAAGTAGGATAAAAATATTCAATCGAAACAGTCATTAACAAATATGATAAAACTGGTCTGAGATATAAAATTTCCAGAACAGTAATTTATATTAGTTGGTTGGAGGCAATTAGCAGGAAGCCCTAGACCTAGGTTTTGTGCTTTTCGGTACTCGTCAGCAAGGCGTATCTGAAACCTCGACGGAACTGATGTCTCACCTGAGATCCGAACCCGCGTCACCCAGCGTTGTAATCAGCGACTTTACCACTGAGTTATTCGGGCCGCGACTGACCTCCTGTAGGACGGGTTTACATGTATTGATTGATCACGATCATTGCGTCGACTATTTGTCAGTCTACATTTGAGTTGCTTCCGTTCCTCATTGTGCACTGTCACTGCAGGCGTACATTCGCGTACATCCATTGAATCATAATAAGCAAACAGACAAAAAAAGCAAGAGTTGAGATCCATCCACTCACACTTTAAAGCCGGCCTCTGAGAGTCAACTACGGTCTTCATCATAGTTTTTACAGCAAACTGAAGACGACACCAGGCTTCTTCTGAATCAGTGATGATATCTCGTTCCGATAACTGTCGAGCCAATTTCTCATTGAAACCAGTCATAGTTTCTCTCATCGTTGAGCTGCACTCACAAATGGTCGGTCATATTACCAAAGTTCTACTATTTCCTTTCAGACGCAGACATATATACGCGTTCAAACCGACCCGTGGTCCCTGTACAAACACGACCTCCACTCTAGGAAGATCAGCAATCTTCCACCAACCCTCTTCATTGGAGATGGATAACGTTGGGGTCTATCTGTGTGTACCACTGAGTTCAGCTTGGTGAATGCCACACCAAACAATGTCAATCTTGGTGTCTGAAGTCTGTGCTCGGTAAGCACAGACGATTTTCTGAACACATTTGCAGCAGGTAATCACCGTCACCCATTCTTTCGGGTGATTCATTACGTGCCACTTATGTACGTTTCTATCTGAATTAGCTCGCCTACCTGTGCATTGAAATCACTTTCAACAACAACAAGCACAACTGAGAGTTTGGTTTTCAATGGAAGGCTAGAAAGGTTCTCGTGGAACTCATCATTCATCAGTCCTGAGTGCAGACCGAATCCTATCGATCATTTTTGCAATGTGGCAATCAAGCTAGGAAACTCAGCATCGCAGACTACAACACTGGGTGACGCGAGTTCTAATCTCAGGGGAGACATCACTTCTGTCGAGGTTGCAGATACGCCTTGCTGACCAGTGCCAAAAGACACGAAACCTAGGTCTAGGGCATGCTGCCGATTGCCTCCAACCAACCAACGTCTACTAATGTGCACCGCGGTCGGCACTCAGGACTAGACAACATGAAATTAATTACACTCCTGTGACCAATCAATACAAGTAATTTATATCCCTCCTGTTTATTGTAATGCATTTTAACAGATTTTTTTCAAGATAGACTGTCCTTATTCACTTCAATAATCATAATAACATCTTCGCCATAAAATATTTTTAATCACTGAGATTATGTTTATTTAGTTTTATGATGCTATTTCATTCAGAAATGACTTATCATCTGCAATCGTCAATTTTCCTGTAGTTGTGACCAGTCAGTCCAACTGTTGAATACATGGAAGAGAATTACTTTGACATGTTATTCAGAGATATTATTCTGTGATGATAGATGGACACACAGACAAAAAAAAATCAGCTTAAAGCCTCACACACAAGTGTATCACCTCAAGCTGCTACAGTTCATAGTAGTATTCAAAGAACAGGAAAGACTGATATTAATATAGATAAAGGTGTACAGAAGGAGAGGGAATTAGAAAATGAACGTAAGGCAAGATATTCATGCTTTAGAAAACATCAGACAGTAAAATCATCTGCACCATTGTAATCAGTTTCTAGTCATATCACCAACAGTCCTCAACCACTGATTCCGATAGTCTTGGCGACTCCAGCCAAATGGCCTACATCTCTCCACGCGGCTCAAACCAACAGTTAGGTACCCCAGTGACTGGTGCCACATACTAGTCTAACCATTCTGAACCCTCTTCCAACCCAGTCAAACTTCCTTTAGCATGGTATGTTGAGATAGGGTCGGCAAGCCCAACACACGTACACAACAAGTTGATGAAGGTTCGTAACCTCATCGACTAACTTCCGCTTCTTGCCAAGCACCTTTTACCTGACCAAAAGATTGCTCATATGTTGACTGTACCATAAGCCAGTAGTGTTATGAAGTGAACATTTATTAAGAACACTCATCCAAAGATTTATCAGATAACATTTGCCGCAACTAGCACTTTCAGACTTTTTATATAAATATTTGTAGAGTACATAGAAAGGTTTCGGGTTTCATGACGAGCTCAATACCATTCAGTCACTGGGTTTGAGACCAGTGGCCTACATTTTCCTATCTCAGTCAATTTGGGTACAGCGTGATATTCATCCAGTAAAATCACTAGGTATTTTTCTTCACTTCCTATTTGGTTTGACCTACTGGTCATGAATTCTAGTTTAAACTTTGGAGAAACGTGATGCCGAAGCAACTCCTTAGTGAGCACTAGACATTAATTTGGTTTGTAAGCTTGTGGAAATTTACTGACTGGAATTCATCACGGACTGAGAAGTCTCGACGAAACAGTTGTCCAGTACTCTTAGATTTCCAATGGTTCTGAAACTGATGTCAATCCATGATGAATACTAACTTGAAATCAGGTTATGTTTGACATTTATTGAATTATTCATCGAATAAATATTCATGTAAGCTATTCTTGTAGAAGATCAATGACTGCTATTAAAAAACCGAAACGTATGACTGTTTCATATACCGGTGCGCATTCCTCAGTGACTGGTGGAGTCCTTAGTATTATCAAACTGCCTGACGCTGTTAAGAATAAGTTATTGAGTAAATATCAATTTTAATTGTCTTATTTCTTATTAATTAAATTGCATGGTCTCTTTGTCTATTCAAAACTTCGATTCCTCATGTGGTGAACAAGAATCCAATTATAATTTTGTCATTAAACTTTTGAATATGAATAACTTGTCCAGAGTTCATGATATTATGAAATATCTATGAACAGCCAGCTAGGATTCAACCCTTTTGTTCAAATGCATTGAAACATGTATTGAAGTTTATTAGGTGGTAAGTCTTCGTCAAATAAATACCTCTGATATATTAATCAAACCCCTTCAAGTTTACTTACTACCTTTACCATTATAGTTATATACCGTTTGTGTTCAACGAAACAAAATAGAAATATTAACTTTTGTCATTTATCGTCACTTATATTTCCGGACCGGGTCTAAATACCACTGTCAGCGCATGAATATTTATTCACACGCGTCAACAGTGCCAGTTTTTACTAATTCACTTCACTACCCGAAAGATGTTTTTGTGATATATTAGACATTAGACATGTTTGTTTATTTGGAATATTTCATGTACCAGCCTGTCCAGTTGAACAAAATCTTGGTTTTTTTTTTTTACATTCCCTTAACCAGATGATACGCTTACTATACTGAAACCGACTGACAAAACCAACGTGAAACCTCTCACACCAGTGTATCGGGTCAAATTGTTACACTTCACAGTGATATACAAAGAAAAGGGGTTGCATCAAAGTAGATGAAGTAGTGTGACAGAATAAATAGTTTGAGGATAAAAGTTACGGTGAATATTTAAGGTTCAGAAGATGTCAGGGAGTGAATACATCTGCACCACTGTTACCGATTTTCAGCGATATCAACGAGGGTCCTGAACCACTGATTTCTTTCGTCTCGGAGACCCCAGCCAGGTAGTGCACACCGATCCACAGGATTCTGACCAGCGGTAAGAGACTGCCCGACCGATAGCTGCTACCTTGACGTGGTGGTCGGGCTTGCATATCACAATGACCCAACGAGCTATGCTGGTGGAACGCTTGTTCCCTCGAGGTCCTACCATACCAGAAAGGTCTGTTGGGTAGTGGTTAGACGAAAAGCAGTTACCGTCATAGTGTAAATTGCTACACTATGATGGGGGTCTGAGGGCGAAGTCGTACTGCTGCTAGCTGGATGGGGTGTGACAGCAGTAAGGTGTTTCCCTTGGATGACCAGCAGTGCCAAGCTGATGCTGCCTTCTCAGTGGAAGGGGGGGTTAGAAAAGGTCGGCCCCAAAAATAACACACTCCACCACGCCCCACGGTCTGCCGGGCCGGCGGTGTTGGTTCACTTGTCGTTTCCTTTCGCTCATCCGGCCCCAAAAATACAAAAATTCAAAATAATCATACTCAAAAGGCTGGGTGTGACAGGCCTCAAGCAGATGTCCGATGGGCTCTGCGGTCACACAAATCTCTTTCAGGTACCTTAAGAAGAAATAGCCTTCCACGGTGTGGGCAGCCGGGAAGTGTCAACCGCCCTCACAACTCTGTCAGCACCCAAGTTTCTTCTGACTGCTATCCTCCTCCTCCATCATTACCTTCTAATCTTCCTTCACGTCTCTTAATTAATGATGCTGCATCATCTTCAATTTCTCCTACCTCTGCAGCCTTCGACAACGATCTGAGTCCACAGAACAGTGTCCCTGGTCTCCTTAAACCACGCTCCAAATTACATATTGGAGCCTTCAATGTCCGCACCCTCCGTCAAATTGGCCAACAGGCTTCGTTGGCAAAGACTCTAGCAACTCGGGCATGGATGTGTGCTGTGTTTGTGAGACACGCATACAGGACCCAAGTGTGGTTATTCACCTGACCTCTCCTGACCAATCTGGTGAATCTGCAAAATTCACCCTTCGAGTTTCTGGAGATTCGATAGCTAGCTCTCGTGGTCTTGCAGGTGTAGGTATAGCATTAAGCACCAGGGCAGAAAACTCACTACTAGACTGGATCCCAGTTGATAGTCGCCTCTGCGCTATGAGGCTGAACGGCACAGTGAGAACTAAAAGGAATAGTGAGACTCGCCGTTGTCTCTTTGTAATCTCTGCTTACGCACCC